GGAGGTACTTCTCACAGATCTGTACCAGGCACCAGAACGCTTGCTGCAAGCCAAAGGACAGCGGGTCAGCGCCCGGGTACCCACAGGGGACAGCCCCACAGCCCCCACCTTACCCCGATGGACCAAGGGGGCAGGCAGAGCACACCTGGGGCACGCTCACACCGGCTGAAATTTGGGGCAAAGCGGTGCCGTGAGCCAAGCACCTGCCCCCCAGCACCTCCCCGCTCCCCACTCCTACCTCGGCCGGCATGTGCATGAGCAGCACCGCGGCGATGGGGGCCTGGGCCTGGCAGTAGCCCTCCTCCTGGGCGGTACAGCGTGTAGGCCTTCAGCACCCGAAAAAGGTCCTGCTGCCTGCGGAGACAACGCGGGGAGAGAGAGGTGGAGAGTGGCCTCCCCCTGCAGCCCCACAGCAGCACGGTGACCCCACGCCGCAGGCCAGCCGGGATCCCTCTTGGCCCCAACCCCAATGCTAAGGGGCACAAACCCCACGGCACAGCCCCACGGAGCAGACACGTGGCTGCCCCACTCACCCGTGGCCTCCGCGCGAGACAAACATCTCGTGGAAGGGGAACTGCCGATGAAGATCCCGCTCGATCACAGTCCAGCCACTTCGGCTCCCCCGGGAGGAGATCCAGCTCCTGGGAAGGAGAGGGGTCAGGGTGAGCAGCACCAGCTGAGCTCCAGCTCCCCTTCCCCAGCCCTCGCTGCCCAGCGGCGCACACACTCACGTCAAACTTGCCGATGTTCTGCTCCAGCTTGACCTTGCTGCCGGAGAGGTACTGCCAGGCTCGGCCCCGCAGCGAGGGCGGGATCCCCTTCTGGCACCGCAGCCGGATCTGCAGGAGAGGGGGGGTACTTTGAGCGCTCTGCTCGTGGGGCAGGATGAGGAGAGGGCTCTGCGTCCCCCCGTGGGGCTGTGTGGAGCAGCAGGGACAGAGCTGGCCCCAGCTCCCAGCCCCAGCGGCCGGCTCCGTGCCCAGCCAGCCCCAGGCTCCCTTGGCACGGGGCAGCGACCGGACCAAAGTCCGGGCTGGGCAGTGCGGGTGCCAGCTCCGCAGCAGGGAGCTGGGCTCGCTTAACCCTGCTGCTGCCAGCAGCTGGGGCCGGGCTGTGCCCTCCCTTGCGTCCCCCCTAGCACTCCAGCCCCACTCCATGGAAAGAGCAGCACCAGCAAGGCAGGGACCCATGAGATAAACGCTTTTAGTACGGCATAAAGCCCTGAAAAATCCCAGCACAGCCTCCGTGCCTTGCGTTCCCTGCTTGGGCAGCACACAGAGGCACCAGGGCTCTGCAAACTGACAGCTCCGAGCCTCCCTGCCGTGGGGCTCGGCAGCCTCGGGGCTCTCCTCCCCGGCCAGAGCTTGCTCTCCCTGTTTGCCAGCTGACACGGGAGCAGGCACTTGTGTTTCCAAGCAGCCCATCCCTGAGCAGTGGTGGTAACGCCACGTTCCTCGCTGCTCCCTCACCGCAGCGCTGCTTGTTTACCCGGCCAGGCCCCACGAGGGCTTTGTGCTCGCAGGAAACGCAGCGGGCGATGCCCTGGGTGGCCACGGGCAGCTCTGTTGGTGCTGACAGCTCCTGCTCCTGCTGCCCTTCCTGCTGGCTGAGCAGCCAGGAAGGAAGCCGCCTAGCATGGAGCAAGAGCCCTTTGGGTTTGCCTGAGCAGCACAGCCCGGGGGCGAGGCGGTTTTGCCCCCACCTCCCCTCTCCCTGCCATCACTGCCGGGGCCCCCCCGCATGCCCGATCGGGAGCGCAGCTGGGCGGAGGGATGCTGAAAGCAAGGAGCAGCCGGAGCTGCCCACGCGTCTGCACTCCCTCGGTCTGCCTGGAAAGGGCACGGGCCGGCACGTGGCGCTGGCACGGCTCAGCGCTGGTGGGATGCGGGCCAGGGATGCAGGGAGCGTTTTGGGATCCCGGAGCGGTGCAGGTGCGAGCAAGCCGGCTGGCTGCGGGGCCTGGGCAAGGAGCAGCTCTCTGCATCAGCCCTTGGAGGCTCCAGGCACTGATTTTGCAGCAGGACAGAGAGCGCAGGCCCCGCAGCTCCTCGGGGATGTCCAGAAGCTCGGCCCCAGCACGAGGGAGCTCCTCCACCAGCAGCGCGGCTGCCGGGGCGCTCACCCGCGCCTGGAAATCACGCGGAGAGCGGCGCAAAACCACCCTCGGGACAAAGCGCCCGCCTGCTGCGACCCGAAAAGCTCTCAGAAATCCTTCGCAAGCAGCCAAGAAGAGGATGAGGGATTCCTCTGTCGGTCACCAGGCACCGAGCGCTGCTCGGGGAGCGCCGCGGGCAGCTCCAGCGGGGGCACGGCACGCGGAGCGGTGCCAGGAGGCCGTGCCAGCGGGCAGGGGGGGGAGGAGGCAGCCCTCGGGCCGCCAGCAGCCTCGCCACTCTGTCAGACGAGCAGAATCAGCTCAGGGCTTGTTTCATCCCATTCGCAGCCTCGGGAGGTCAGGGAGCACCGAGGCACCAGCACAGCCCCGTGTGGCACCGTGGCCACCGAGCCCACACCACCATCAGCCTTCCAACCAGCCCCCGGCTCGCAGGCCACATCAGGCTCAACTATTTCCTCCCCACAGCCTTTTTTTGTTTTTTTTTTTTCTTTTTTGGGTCTGCGAGATGCCGGGAGCAGAAGTTTCCATGACCTAACAATTCCCAGGGCTGCCTGCACGCAGCCAAACGAGCCCTCGGAAGCCGGCAGGGAGCAGCCGTGCGCAGCGGCAGCCAGCTGGGGCAGCCCCAAAACAGCATCACCTAAAAGCACCGCGGCCGTCCTCCTGCGGGGGACTCGGGGACGTGCCCCAAGGCTTTGGGGGGACGCTGCTGTCCTGGGGTCACCCACCTTCTTGTGCTTTTTGGCCATCCACTTGTCCCAGTTGTTGAGCATGTCCAGCCACTTGGACTCGCGCTGCCGCAGCACCTCCAGGGGCACCTCCTCCAGCCTGCGGGGCGAAGGGACGAGGCGGGTGAGCGCGGCCCCAAGCCCCGTACCCACCACGGAGCCCACCTGTCCCTATTAACCCACACATCCCCAGCCACCCCAAAAAGAGGGGAGCGTTTTCCAGCAGCGCCCAGCCGGGATGGGCATCCCTATTTCACCCCCGGGGGCTACATCCGAGCTGGGAGAGGGGTGGTGGCGGTGGCACCGGGTGGCTTCGTGCTGCCCCCAGCCCCAAGGCGGGCAGAGGAGCAGCTCCTGGCCGAGCCAAGCTCCCGGCCCTGCCCTACAAATTCCCACCCGTGGGTCAGATGGGGCCAAACGCTTGGTTTTGAGCATCTCTGATGCGAGCAGCTCGACCAAGGGCGACCACCGCATCGTCCCCATGGCCGGCTCGGCCACCGGCGTGGGGACCCGGGGAGCCGAGGGGACGCTGGCCCCGAGCCGGGGGAGCCCGGAGGGGGCTCGGCGAAGCGTGGGAAGCCGGAGGGAGCCGGACACTGGATCCTGGGGCTGGCCCCAGGCCTGCTGGAGCCCCGCCAGCACGGGCTGGAAGCTGTCACCAGCTGACGGCCGCACGGCAGCGGGCACCGAGCGGGGACCGGGCACCTTTGGGGTGGCGGGGGACACCCCATGAGGGGGGGGTAGAGCCAAAATGGGGGGCACAACCCCACGGCTGGGCCCTCCCCAGGGAAGGAGATGGAGGGGGGGGGGGGGAATGGGACCCTCGAGGCCGCGCTGGATCGGGCCCAGGGTGCCCGGTAGGGGGGAGGCCGGGCCCGGGGAGCGCTGCTGCAACCCCCCCGGGGAGGAAGAGGAGGAGGAGGAGGAGGAGGAGGAGGATGAAGGAGGAGGAGGAGGAGGCGCCGTGCTCAGGCCCCGGGGCCGGGGCGGTGCCGGCCGCAGCCCCGCTTCCTCCTACCGGGGCCGGCGGAGGAGGCCGGGAGGCCGCCCCCGAGGGCTGAGGAGGAGGAGGAGGAGGAGGAGGAGGGGGAGGAAGGGGAGGAAGCACCGGGGGGGTGGGGGGCGCTCCCCGGGGGGCCGGTACCGGGCTCTTGAAGGTGAGGAGGGGCCCGGAGCCGCCCCCCCCCCGCTCCCCTCCCCTCCCTTTTCTCCCTTCCCTCCCCCTCCCGGTGCCCGTTCCCCACTCACGGCCCCTCGGCGCTGCGGCTGCCCACGATGAAGCCGAATTTATCGACGCGCCGCTCCTCGGGGCCGCCGCCGCCGCCGCCGTTGACCTCCGAGTCGGAGCCCAGCGAGCTGAGCTCGTCGCCGCCCGCCTCCGCCAGGCTCTCGCGGGTCCCCCCCAAGCCGCGGGTGCTCCCCGGCGAGCCGGGCCCGCCGCCCCCGCGGCTCTTGGCCATGGCGCCGCGGCTCGTTCAGCGGCTCCGCCGCCGCCCCTCCATGCCGCGGCCACGGCGGCGGGCGCGGCCCCCCCCCACCTCGCTCCCTCCCTCCGTCCCTTCTCCGCCCGCCGCCGCCGCTCCTCCCGGTGCCGCCCCGGTGCCGCCACGCCATTGGGTGGAGCGGAGGGAGGGAGGGAGGAGGGAGCCAATGGGAGGGGAGGGAGGTGGGAGAGCCCGCCCTCCCCGCGTAGGGATTGGGTGGGAGGTGGGGAGGGAGGTGTCAGTCAAGGAGAGGGCCCCGCCTCCTTCCGCCTGCCCGCCCGGTAGTGGTAGGGGAGGGCGGGGCTGCGTGGGGGGACTGGGAGGGACTGGGGGAGACTGGGGGGGGACTGGGATTGGGTTGGGGGGAACTATGGGATACTGGGATTCCGCTGGGGGGGAACTGGGGGAGACTGGGAGGAACTGGGATGGGGCTGGGGGGAACTGAGTGGAATTGGGGGGCACTGGGATGGGACTGGGGGGCATTGGGGGATACTGGGATGCGACTGGGAGGAACTGGGGGGCACTGGGACGGGACTGGGAGGGACTGAGTGGAATTGGAGGGTGCTGGGATGGGACTGGGGAACACTGGGATGAGGCTGTAGGGCTCTGGGGAGCGCTGGGAGGGAACTGGGATGGGACTGGGAGGAACTGGGGGGCACTGGGATGGTACTGGGAGGAACTGGAGAGGACTGAGTGGAATTGGGGGATGTTGGGGAGCACTGGGAGGGAACTGTGAGGAACTGGGATGGGACCAGGGGGCACCAGGGGAAACTGGGAGGGGGATAGGGTGGAACTGGGATGGGACTAGGGGGGCGCTGGGATGGAACTGGGAGGAACTGGAGGGAACTGGGATGGGCAACACGCGTGGCAGGCATCGAAGCCCAGCGCCAAAGGGGCTGCAGGGAGTGGTGCCTGACCCCAAAGCACAGGGAGAAGCATCTCCCCCAAAAAACCCAGGGCTGGGGCCTGGCTCCCTGCAGGCAGCTCCGCGTCCAGACCCCGCGGCTTCCCCGCCGGCTGCCAAACCCACAGGGCGCTGCCGCCAGCAGCCCGTACTGGTGGAACTGGCCTGGCCCTGGCTAAAAATACAGCACAAAACACGCGGCAGGGCCCGGCCCAGCCCTGGGCTGCAGCAGGAGGGGAGTCCCCGGCTCGCTGTGCCACCACCCTCTGCAAAAACAGCCGAAATTTGTTCGAATCGAGACCCCTCCTAAAAGGGGAAACGCGGTGGGCGAGCTATTGAGGAACCCAGGGCACAGGGATTGGGGCAGGCAGCCCCCAAGCCCTATCCTGATTTTTTTCCAAAAAAATCTGCGGGTCCTCAGCAGCAGAGTGAGAAGCTCTGATAACAGTTGTTTTGTAGGAGATACACACGGACGGGCTGCTCCGACGTTTATCTGTAATATTGAGATGGAAGCGCTGCTGGCAGGGCTCCACCGGAGCTATTTCCAGCTCTCCGGGCGGGTGTTTTCCTGCAGGAGCGTGGGGCTGGGTGCTCGGCCCTGCCAGGCTGAGAAACGGGGCTTGGCTGCGGCGGAGGCTGGAAATGTCAGCGCAGAGTCCAGCGGGAACCATCGAGGAACGGCCCCGGGCTGGGCAGGGCGGCCGGGTTCTTCTTGCACAAGCACCGTGGCTGCTTGGGTGCAGCCAGAGGAGGGGAAAAAAAAAGAAAGAAAGAGCTGCGTGACCTTAAATACAGTCCTGTCCTACGCAGGGTGCAGAAATGTGACTTCTCCATTTCAGAGCTTTCTCTGCAGTTTTTAGCAGCTCTGGAAAACAGCACTGCCAGCGAGCTACTCGCACGCTGCTTTAGCGAACCTCCACTGCAGTGGCTCCAAGCTCTGCCCCCCGTTTTGTTTTCCCCATGAAAACGTCGTTCCTGTTGTCCCAACCCTACCCCACTATCATTGTCTGGTTTTTAGAAGCAAGGGGAAAGCCATGAGCCTGCCTTCCTGCACATCCTCCGTACACCCAAACAGCCTGCCCACACCTGCAGAGAAGCGATTTAATTCGGCATCCTGCGGCTCGAGGGGAGCGGGGCTGCGCTCGCAGACACGTGGGCACCTGGCAGCTGCGGCAGCTGGAGCAGGAGAAGCAGCAGCCACCTGGGCTGGGCCCGTGCCAGGCACCTTCCCTGCAGCTTCCTCGGCTGCCTGCCCCACCATGAGCACACAGGAGGCCGTAGGATGTCGTCTCTTCGCTCCTGATTCATCTCTCCGTCCCCCAGAGCACAAAATAAGGTAAACAGGATCCTTCTGTGATGCCTGGACGCCGCACAAAAGAAAGCAAAACAAACCCGTGGCTGCAAGGGGAAGCAGCAGACAGCCCACCTTCCTCGGCCACCTCATTACCTGCCCAAAGCTTAACCTGGCCTCGCTGTGCCGGGGTTGTGGGCGCTTCGAACTGCCTGATAGCTTCGAGAAAGATAAGGGAATGATCTGTTCTGCGGATCTGAATGCTCTCCGGAACCAGGAGATGCAAACTGCATGGTAGTGTGAAATACCCTCCCAAGAAAATTCCCACTAATGAGATTTAAGCTCAAAACCACCTCGCTATACCCCTACACAAACGTGTGTACACAAGTGTGTGTTATGGTTGGGAACACACGGGTAGCACTGAGAAAAATTTAACAAAACCCTTTTCTTGAAGCCTTTCCTAGGATAAAATAACTGATTTTAAAGACCAGTGCACTTCCCCACAACCCATCCAGGACCGGAGAGCTATGAAGTCAGGCCCACCTCCACCTAAAAAGCCCGAACCCCCCCAAGAACGAGAGCTGCCACAAATGGGACCTCGCACCGAGATGCGTGTTTATTAAAACAAATCACGGGCTGTACAGAACAAGCACGAAGCTGCTGAGCATGCAGTCCCGGATCTCCTTTATCGCGAGGGACAGCCATGCACACTTACACTGAGAGAGGATAAAACTCCAAGTCAGGGTCAGTGCAAGAGGCTCTTGCAGATAGATTTGAGACAGAAAAAGAACAAGGGGCTTAGCAAGTACACTGAGAAAGAAGTTTTCAATTAGAAAAAGGGTTAAATAAAGCAGCAACCACTGTGGCCAGACAGATGATGTTCTTGGTCAGTATAAATCCCTCAAAGATGGATCTAGACTAAGCTGGGCATGACCTCAATGTGGCTTCTCTGGGGAATTTACCGGGGAGACAGCAAACCTGGACACCAGCACTCTAGCAAAGCATCGATCACTAACAGACCGCTGCAGTTACGTACTAGCTCACTACACTCGCACAGCTTTCAGGGCTCTACCAGCCTCCTCCCTCTCTTTAGCCACCCAAGCACTGGGTTCACAGTCTCTCTTCTCAAACAAGCTGGTAGGCAGTCTGCAGCTTGTCACAGTGGCCCCTAAAAGGCTGGAGGATTCGAATGGTTGGGGCTACACAAGTGGCAAAGGAGCCGTTACGTCTCCGGGCTCCACGGCTCCTATTTCTTCCTGCCTCCTCTTTCTTTGAGTGCCAGGTGAATCAGAGAGCCACTTGTCATGTTATAATAAGCCAGGGAGTTTGAATCCTTGATGAAGATGCCCTGAGGAGAAAAGGAAATAAACAACGGTCACAGCAGAAACCTTAATGGTCCCTTCCCACAAAACCCCACATAGACAAAGCCTTCCTGGCCCTACTCTCAAACTGGAGTGATGACAAAACACTGCAGGCTTAGATAAAGCCTGGAGAGGTCCCAAAGTCTCACAAGACTGGCACGGGAAGAGGTGGGTAGGCTGGGAATTACACAAGTGTAGGAATTGGCAATACACGATACACACCTCTACAAATACAGAAAGAGTCAGTTGCCAGAACAGATGAAGCTGTTTAGTTCCCCCTCCTTTTTTATCCTTTAAATAATTTTTATTTCTTGCTAAGGGTTAACACTGTCTGCCCACGGAAAAATTCCTGGGGAGGTAAGAGCTCAAAGTTCACTGCTTAGGCAGCAGGTTGTGCCTGGGCACATGCATGACTGAAAACAAATGAGAAAGGCACTGCTCCTTTTTAACAACAGCTCCAGTCTCAAGAGACCTCTTTTCCCTTCAGTGTTTTGGTGAAAATCCTTTCAGAGTCCCCAGAGTTTCAAGACATTCTTGCCCAACCTTCCGGAGTGTGAGACAGAACAGCAGGGGCAAAATGCTGTATTTAAACGCAAAAAATCACAACCAGCCCCACCCCCTCAATAAAACTGGTTGATTTCAGAGAACATATTAAGGCTTTGAGGCCTCATCTGTAATAGTGAGGATGTGAAATTCCACTGATGCCACCTCCTAGAGGCCTGTCCTGCTGAAACAGCACACAGCACTGTAACCAAGTGTGCTGTACAGACAGGAAATCCATTCCCTCTGCTCTTCCCAATACCTCAATGGGCACAACTTTTTCTTTAAAAAAAAAAAAAAAAGACCAGATTTGTGTGAGAAAACACCGAAACAAAAACAGCGTTTGAAGGACATATACCCACCTCGTACTGCAGCTTCTGTTTCCCAGCTGGCATCCCCGTGGCCTCATGGATCTTAACCTTTATAACAGACACCTACGAAGAATTAAAGAGCTTCCTCAGGCTTTTTCCACACCATACAGACAGCCAGCACTGCACCCCCAGCCACACAGCCTGGCAAGAGGCCACAGCATGGGGAATTTCCAGTTTTATAGCTCCTGTCATGCAACTCTCAACACGGAGATGCTCCACAACAAAAGAGCAAGGGATAAAGGCCAGGTTAATAAGCTACATACCTGGTCTGACAGCGGCAGGGTGAACACCAACACTTGGCCGTTCAGTTTCCATTCCGTCTTGTCCTGCATGTTGGGAACCTGGACTTTGACCGTGACAGGACCCTGCAAGGAAACAAAGATAAAGTCTCTCACAGGCAAGGAGGCTCAGGGCTGTGATAAGAGCAGCAGACAAAGTATTTATAGACCTTCCCAATACTAATCGCTTATCTTGACTGCTCAGTGAACACACAGAAGTATTATTTGTCTCAATATTGAGAAAGTCAGTTTGCCGTTACCAAAACAAAACCTTTACTTGGATTTCTCCCCTTAGTCCCTCCTTAGTCTGCTGTTCACCAAGCATCACAAGCATTCTGAGTATCACAGAGCGAACACAAGCAGGAGGCAGCTCCGCAGTGCAAGTGTCCAGAAAAAACAGCATTCCCCTCTTAAAGGGCTTCAAATTCAACCCTAGCTGATGCCACTGCTCAGGAAGGAATTCAGCCCAACGTCCCGTTCACATCGTTACAGAATGTCACATTACCATACTACCATGTTGACATTGATATATTAAATCTCCTTGCATCTCCAGCTTAGCAGTCTTCTGCTTAAAAGCTTATCAGCATTAGCTCTTCTTTACATTACTATAAACCTGTTTCTCGCTGCCCTTAATTACAGAAGAGTACCATCTCACTAGGCTTCTGTGTGCAGCGCTCTGCTGCTCTTTCCAGTAAAATATAGGGCAGCTCAGCTCACTCAGGTACGACAGGAGGAAGGAGCCCTCTCAGAAAGTCACTGTCTCATGAAATACTTGCACATCAGCTCCCCTCTGTGTCCTCAATGGACTTTACATCCCCTTTGGGTACAGGAGGCTGAGCAAGCAGCCCGGCAGGGTGAGGAGCCTGACCGAGCAGCCAGGCCACACACATACCTTGTTCCTGCGCAGGAACTCCTCCTCTGGAATCAGGCTGTCCTCACTCTTCAGTTTCTTTGAAACCGGCTCATCCTCCATCGGTGGTGGTGGGTGAACAGGGGGCATCGGGGCTGGGGAAGGGACCGGAGCCACGGGAGGTGCTGGAACGAACGCTGAAACGGGATGGGGGAAAAGCACAACCTGCAGTCAGCCACCGAGTATACAGCAGATAATCCCTTACATAAACTCTACCAGCAAACTAAAAAAGGCTGAAAATAAACGCCACAATACACGCAGGAAGTTAACACAACCAACAGCAACATGCAAACTTTAAACATTAGATCTATTTTATATTGGGAAACAGTCCAGGAAAAGACAACAAGCAGCGTAAGAGTTTCCTGCAGATCTTGCAGAAAAGAAAATGCTCTCCGTTTGGCATGCAGCGGTGCCAGCACTTCAATTTAGAAAAAAAAAAAAGGACAAAGCGGAAGAAGCGTTTTCATGTTGTGCTTTTTAACTTAAAATCACCTCACGCTACGAAGCCACTATGAGGAATGGAGCCAGACAACAGCTCTTCCTCATGCAGCAGCAACTTCCCTAACCAGCTGTAACACCCAGCGAGGTGCTGGCAGATCAGCTTTACTCTGGTCCCTGTTGGAAAGCAGCACAGATCCCCAGCGTTCACCTGGTCAGACCCCCAGGGACACCGAGTGGGGACACTGGAGCCCAGAAGCAGTGCTGCCAGATTAAGTCTTACTAAACGCAAGAAAAATCCTTAAAGATGAGATTTGTGGTTTGCAGTCCCAGTTACCATTATCAGAGGCACAAAAAGAAAAAGGGAATCAAAGCTCAAGCTCACGCTAGATGGGAGCTGGCTGACAATTAACGGGAAAGAGCTGAAGTTACTGACCTGTTGGCACGATCATGGGAGGCGGGCGGGGGCTCATGATGGGAGGAGCAGAGGGCGGCATGGGGACAACGTTGATCCGTGGGGTGTGGATTATTGGTGGCATAGGGGTGGCTATGACAGACCCCGGAGGCAAACGGACCACAGAAGTCATCGGGGGACGAGGCATGACAGGAACAGCAGAAACAACGGCGGCACGAACAGGAGGGGGCATCTGGAGAGAGAGAGAAGGTCATTTTTCTTAGCAGATGCATGCAATGATCATCTCAGTGCTGTCTGCAGTCCTGATTAAAATAACCAAGGCAACACACTGAGGATTCCTGCTGGGCAAAGACCTGCTGGGAACCTCTGCGTGCTCACCGTATGGCCAGCCCGAGCTTCCTGTAAACAGGCACAGAAACCTCATTAACACATCAAGCAGTTCTTCCTTCCCTCACCACTCAGGAACCAGGCCACGAGCCACACGGCGATCCTGGAACAGGAGCTCTCAGGGTCACAGCAGAACCCCCGGTGCACAGGAACCTGGGGCTGTGAGGCATCTGTGATTTCTCACCTGCCACTGCTTTCGTTTTCCGCATCACGTCTTTTTACATTAAAAAAAGAGGCCCCCACCCATGCATTTATTAGCCATGCTTCCTTCCTCCAAGGAGGCACCACCCACGTTTTTCCCCAGCACAGCTGATCAAGTCTTTTTGATACTGCTAAGGATGAGAGATTTCACTTCTGTCTTATTTTCACTTTTAACAGCAAGGTCAACAGGGAACCTCTGAAGGCCTAGGAGCCATTTGGAAACGCTAACTTCGCCCAAAATCTGCTTCCAGCCAGTGGCCTGCTATAACCCTTGAGCTTTGTCAGGACTCCTTTCTAATTAACTACAGCCACAGCTGTCTACTTTCGGACACCCAAGCACTTACTGTGGGTGGACGAGGCACAGATGTGATGGGCTGAGCACTCGCTGGGGGATTTGATGCTGATGAAGGAGGGGGAGGCTGGGGCATTTCGTTGGGTTTGCTGGGACCAATCTTCTCCTTGCTGTCATCTTCTGGCACCAGTCCCTTGGCCTTATGGATAGCTTCAATTTGCTCTTGAAGAGTAATATTGGCCTGAGCAGCCTGTTGTGTGCGGGCCATGCTGCCTGAGTGGCCATCCCAGGTCACCTGACAGGATAAAATACATCAGAATAACCCCAGCCCACAGAGACCACGATGAGAGCTACAAATAGATCAAGACACCAGTTTTACAGCAAGAACAAGCTTCAAAAGACCCCTCTCTCTGAGCATTCACAATACTACAGGAACTCGTTCCCACTCTACCTTTTCCTCTGGTTTCTGGATTTCTTCTTCACCAATCTTTTTACCAATGGCAGTTTCTTCCACACCAAAGATATCGGTACGGCGTTCTGCCAGCTGCTTCAAGCTGCTTTCGATATCCAAACCTACAGGAAAAAAGGAATCATATCACTTCAGGTAAGAATTCCCAGTCAAACAGGATCACAAAGAGTCACAACTCTTTAACAAATCATCAAACAATTTGGCACCCATTGGCTTAGTGCTGTTCTTTTCAGAGAGGGACTGCAACTGATGGCCAGTCAGCAGCAGCCGATGCTCTTTGCCTTTAACTCTGCAGAAGGGCTTCAACGTACTAAGGACAAAAAGTAGCCATATAATCAGCACACTAAGGACGTAGCACAGAAAGCTACATTAAAGACAGTCCTTATCAGTGGCAACTAGGGGGAGTGAGGACGCACGCTAAGAAGTTCATAGCACTGATCTAGGAAGTGGGTTTTACAGGCTTTGTCAGACACTCCAGCTGACCTGGGGCATAGACCTCATCGTCGCTCTGCTTTTCACGGATAGATCGATCACGCTGCTCCAGCCACCGAGGATCCAGGAGACCAATCCGCATGTGTTCTTGCATTTTGCTGGCAGGAATTTTCTCCCCAGTGATGGGGGAAACGAGATACTCATCCGGAGCTGGGGCAGGCGGCAATGGTTTTGAGGCTGGAAAAACAAAACCACAGCCATTAAAAAACACACCACCAGAGGATGTGGCCTAGAAACAAACGCTTTTGTGATTACACAGTAAGAAATGAAGTCGGCCTTCAGCAGCCCGATTTACCTTTGGGATCGTAGTCTTTCCGCACAATGACCTGGTCTGGTGTTGGAGGAAGAGGTGGCGGCATTGGGGTTTCTGGTGGAGGAGGAACCTTCTGACTTTCATCTTCATCATCTGAGCCCTTAAGAAAAAAAAAGTCATAAAGTTCCAGTAGTCAAACACCCACACAAAAGATGTGAGAACTGCATAGAATTTCTCTGTAGTACTGGTAGGAGCAATCATGCAGCTTCAAAGCAACTGAGCTATTTTGCCTCTGGACATCTATTCTACAGTGATTCCTCAGGGTAATCAGGAATTAAAAGATTCAGTAGACCCAAATAAAGGAAGCAAGTACTCCTCAGCTTCCACATTACCACAGCAGGGCAAGCAGGGGCTTACGGTTAACCATGGCCTTGTTCCTTGTTAACAGCAAAACAGCTAATATACTGTGGTTAGAGGAAGAGCCTAAAATTCATCAGTCTTCAAATGTTCCAGACTCCAATGTAGAAGAAAGCCTAAAAGACTCAGTCACAGAAATACCAAATTCACATCCCTAGGTTTCAGAATTCCCAGGTTTCTCTTGTAAATTGTATTGTCACGGAAAATATTAATAATATCGTATTACAGCATTTTGGCAGAAACAGGTTGTTTTGAAATTCCATCAGAAGCAAAGAAATCTCATTTCCTCAAGAAACTGAGGAACTTATTGCAATGAAGATGAAGAGCACCATAAACCGGTCACAAATCTCACGAAGCAAAAGTGATGCTGATTCTGTTGGCTACCTACCTCATCCATATCCTGCACTTGTGTATCTTGATCCAACTGGGTCGGGGGCTCATCTGTTTTCTCTTGCTTTTCATCTTCTTCATCTGACTCCACCTCCATTTCCACCTCCTCACTTTCCCCAAACTTCTCATAACGCTCCTGGATGAGGATTCGAGCTCCCAACTCTTCCGGAGTGGTGGGAGGAGGAAAATTCCCTACAAAGCAGAAAACAGACCAGGTTGCTCAAAGCTTCATCCAGCCTGGCCTTCAGCAACCCCAACTGCCTCAGGCTGTCTTCACAGCAGAGGTGCTCCAGCCCCCTGAGCATCCTCATGGCCCTTCTCTGGACTTGCTCTAATAGGACCACGTTCTTCTTAAACCGTGGAGCCCCAGAGCTGAACCCCCAGTACTTGCTGTCCTGCTGCAGGTGGAAAAACAGACACCTGTGCAGCCCTTTGTGCAAGGAGAACATTACTGACTCCAGGAAAAAATAAAAAAAATCCAGCCCTACCCTGTCATTAAGAGGCTTTCCCATTCATCTTTGAGGGATATACAGCTGTAAAACCCCACGTCTGCCTAAAACCAGCATTGTACTCAGAGGAAGCAGTGTTTCAAAGAGGTTACAAAGCCTAACCTCAGTACCTTGTTCATTGGGCTGAAAGTCCACTGTTTCCACAACCACAAAGTCGTGCCAATCAATCTGGGCATAAGCAACACGCTCCTTTTCCTTCTCTTCCTCTTCCTTCTTTCTCTCTCGCTCTTGGAACTTTGCCCACTCCACTCTGTAATACACCTGCACAAGCAGACATAAAGCTAGCACCAAAAAATCCACAATAATCACCTGTGCAGCGTCTAAAGTTTATCCTACCAACGCTGTCAAGGCATTTGCGCAAGGACCACTTCAGAGGCTTGGCAGCGTAAAGAACTAGTTGTATTTTACAGAGAAACTACAGGTTTGCCTATTGAGCAGAGTACTGCACCAGCTTCATAGTGGTTTTCTAAAGCTGGAACTGCAACCTTCTTGAGTTAAGACCAAGCGACGTGATTTGTGTATTGTTGAGGATTCACAATCAGCAAACAATTCACAGGGTTGTAATAAAAAGTCTGCAATGTCACCTCTCCAAAGCACAAGCAGCCTTTGTGATGAAGACAGAAGTTAAAAAAACATATTGATAGAACTGCAAGTGACTGAGGTGCCACAGTGAAGTTGTCTGAGAAGGAAAGGTATTTAGGGAACTGGCATCATGCAGTTATCTATGCCTCTGCAGTGCCACACGTGAACAAACAGTACCTAGGAGCTTGAAAGTGAGCTTGAGTACCCTGATATTCAAGTCACCCTTGTGACTACAAGGGACACACCCATCTTACGTGGAATCTGTATTGGATGCCAGTAAATTAGAAGCATGCAAAGAGAGAATTCAAAGTGTAACTGAAATGCTACAGCAATTTGGAAAATGATTCATGCAATACCTGATCTAGGACTTCCTTGGGATTTTCAGCCTCCTTCTTGAGTTTGATGAGTAAGCCTTTTGGTGGGATCAGGATCTGAAACATATTTTGTGTGACAGTTGGCAATGACTCTTTTTTGACAAAGTCTCCTTAAAAGCAACTATTATCTTTCCACATAGATTAAAAACATCAGCAGACCCCTGGGACTACCTTCCATTTCTTCTGTTGCTACTGTATTAATTATTCCTTGTACCTGAGCTTAAAATATTCACTCTTTGCCCTTTTATCTATAGTTAGTATTTTTTAAAATGTAACTTTTATTTATGTTGCTATAGTGTTTGATACACTTGAGTAGCAACCCTACCTGCATTCAGCTCTGCACATGCCCACAACAACATGCAAGAAATCTCTTTTTAAAGGGCAAGATTTAAGGGACGGACTCCTAAACCTGTATGCATTTCTAGTCTGTTTTATACAGCATCTGTAGTCTTCAAAATCAACACTGCTGCTGAGGAAAGCAGCTTCACAGGTGAACTGCCACGAGTACCTTCGTGTACTGCTCAACCAGCTTCGTGAAGTAGTTAAACAGGCTGTGCTGCGGGCGAAGGAAGTCAAACTGATAGTTCCTCTGCTCTTTCTGCATCAGCTGCGTCAAGAACTGCCGCCCATTCCGAGCCACAAACTGCGCCGTCAGCTTCACCACATCCAAGTCAAAGGCTGAGATGGAGGGAGGATCTGCAATGAACTCAAACTCCGGAGGTGGCTCTTTGGGAACAACGGTCTCCTGGATCACCTGGGCCTGCACCTGTGGAGCAGAACGGAGACAGCTCCGTGACTGCCATCAAGAAATTGTTACCGAACACTTGGGAGGACCCATTTTTCCTTCAGCTGCTGAGGGAAAGTAACAGTCAGTTTAGATATTCTGGACAACTGCAAGGATGGAAGAAAGTAGTAATGTAAGGTGTATCTGGACACCTGTACTCAGGCGCTACTGTAAAATGAATGTTCTACCAGCTAACGACACTGCAAACTGTCAGGACTTTGCTACAACCCTCCCGTGATTACCAGTCCTGCAGTCAGTGTCACACAGCACAGCTGTTGGCCACACAAAGCATGCAAAAGGCTCAGATTCAGTCAGTGCCCTTTTTCCATCCCGTATTTATAAAGACACAACTAAGCAACATTTTGTACTCCACACTTTCAGGGCAAGCTGATCCTTCTGGCAGGAAAAAAACAAACATTTTATATAAGACTGTGCATGCAACAAGCCCAAACTAAACTCCAAGGGATTTTAAAGGATTTGTGTATGGCAGGAGTCCTAAAGTCAAACGTTCCAAGTGATCACCAGGGTTAAGTACCGTGTAGATGTACATGAGTAAATGTAATTAAAATAGACTAAGCGATACAAAATAATGCATCTTTCACAAAACCTGTGAGTCACCAGCATCTGGGGGATGCACACCCGCATCAGAAGGAAATCCCAGATGCTAAATTCCATGCCTGCTTCTATGACAAATGTATCATTTGCACCATCTTTCTGCTTAGTATTCTTCTGCTTAACATCAGGGTGTGAGGAACAAGCGGTCAGAGCAAAGTTCTTGACCAAAGTGAAAAGAAACGCTTACCTTCTGTGGAAGCTGCTGCTGAGCAGTTTGCTGCTGTTGCATAACCTTGGGAATAGCAGCTGAGGGCTCCTGGGCCTTGCCCTCTTTGAACTCGCTGACTTTGTGCCGGTAGTATGCATGGTAAGGGTCGTTGGGATTCAAGAAATTGAACTTGGGGTTATTTATTTCATTCTGACGAATTCGAGCTTCAAATTCTGGACCATTTCTGTAGGGTGGAAAAAAGAGTAGATGAATGGGTATCGACTCAGGTACAAACGCCTGCTTCTGTCATAGGAAGACCTGTCTTCTGAGGGGCTGATTCCCTGAACACTCTTCTCTCCTGTGTGGCAGGAGTTTACCTCTCTCTACCTCCAGGTAACTCTCACCCAACACAGCAGGCGTTTATACACATACTGGCTATGTGCACATCCTAACTTAGCCTTTAACATTCCACAGTGAGCATTTCTCGAGGCAGTTCAACACACACACAAGTATTTCAGTCTTGTTTGGCTACATTCACACCAAACATCTCTGAGCGGATTACACAATTCACTGGAAGGTGTTTAGTCCCCTACTAGACTAACAAGTTTTGGAGGCTGGTTTTATTTCAAGAAAGGTCATGCGAGGAGCAGGCAGGTAATCAGCAGCCCATGCAGAAACGAAGCACACTGCATTCAGGAGAGCCACCAGGGTTATTTCCTTTTCTCCCATCCAAGAGAACCGCCAGTTATTTTCAAAGAGCACTTTAGGAAAATTAAAAGCTTGCTGCAGCACACTGCTCTTCATGTTCCCTAGATACCCCTAGGTCTCATTCAGGCACTGAGCCTCTCCCAAAAGCAGATGATGGCACTGTCAGCACTGACACCTTGTGTTTGCTGAATGGACATGTGGCAAACGGAAGGAACTGAAAGGAGCGCAATTTATCTCACTTTCAGGCTCCTCCCCTAACCATGAGAGCTACACTCGTGCTACAGCTCAAGCAGCAAATTCCAGTCAGCAGGGGAAAACATCCCAGGCAGTCCATCTGCCCTCAGACAGGGCAAGATCGCTCCCTGGAGGCGTGCATTTCTTCCCCTGGCTGCAAAGGGAGAGAGGCAGCCGAGCTGGGGAGTGTCAGGCCCAGCTGCTGGCACCGTTTATGAAGCTGCAGGTACACGGGGACGGGACTTGGCTGCAGGGCTCAGCAAGCAGCAGAGTTCTTCATCTGCTATTTGCCTACACATCGTAAAATACAGCCACAGCTGCTGCTGGCTTAATGGCTCAGCGAAGTGCCTGTAACAGGGCTCCCTTTCTACCTGGAGTTTTGTCTGCCCTTCGGGTCGGATTTAGAAGAGCTGTCACCTAGCCATTGCAACACACCTCACAGTGTTCACAAAGGGTTTTATTTGCTGTCAGTGCTTTTCTAGCAGAACACAACCTCTACAACCTCACTGGTATGAGCTCAATCCTTAAAAAACCTTTGTGTAAAGCCAGGGGACTGTGACCTGCTTCAGCTTCTGGAGCTACGCAGACCTCAACACTGGGAGATGCACAAAAATCCCACAGAACAGGAGCCAACTCCCGCGCTGTTTACCTGGCCACGAAGCTGGCAGTCTTGTCAACGATGTTCCTGACCTCCGGAGGAGGATAAATAATTCCCACCACAGGCTTGGCCGGTGCTGCTTCCTCTTTTGGCTCCTCTTCTGGCTGCAATAAAAAAACATTTTTCTTACAGTTGTCTGTCCAGCTACCTCATAACCACAGAAATTATTCCGAAGATGATGACGCTGGTGGTACAGCGAGACACCTTCCATTGCAGGGTTTGCAAACAGTGAAGGCAGCGAATGCAAACAGCCCAAATCCCAACTGCTAACAAGAGAAGGAATTTCAAACAACACTGAATAACTCGTTGTAGAGCAGCATCTGGGTGTGACAGCACAGCCTGGCAGACTGTGAACTGACACCGGGTTTATTTTCAATGGGTTGAGTTGGAAAATGCATTTCTCTCTCTCAAGTTCTTTACCTACATCTAGAACAGCAGGCCTAACACACCTTCACAAGCTGGTCTGAAATCCCATGCCTAAAGAACAGTCCTGTAAGAACACTGTACTCCAAACAGCAACCCCCACGGTGGACAAGAGTGCATTCTCCTCCCCAGCCCCCAAATCATTAAGTTTTTCTGGCAAAAATCCAGTTTAACAACCTGGATCAACAGCCCCAGGAGGTAACGGCACTCCCCAGCTTCCCAGGGCCGGGAGATGATGTTTGTCTGCTCGTCAAGGGCACCTGCTGCAGAGGCTGGCATGGCAGGGCGAGGAGGAAGGCCACACCATGGGAACCAAAACAAGTCTCCACAGCGCTTTGCGCCTTCAGCCTTGACCCCAAGCGGGTTTGTTTAGATGCTGAGCAAAGGGGCAGTGAAGGGGAGTGCCTGCAACACCACGTGCAGGAGTAACTCGGCTGTGCTGGTCAACCTGGGCATCATTCCTACGAGCTCACGGGACTGCCAGGAACCAGAATCACCCCGACTGGATCAACGTGAAAGAACAGGCAGCTTCTAGCCCTACAGAGATCACATCAGAAGCTATTCCATTGACAAGAGCAGCTCAGCAAGCTGCTTCCCTCAGCGGTGCCGCAGCCCCAGCACCCTGAGGGCAGCTTTTTCGCTGGGCCCTGCCGTACGGGACGGCTTTGAGGTCTCAATGGGGACATTTTGGAACACCAGGACCACCGTAAGCTCTGTGAAGACCCCAGGGGCCGATCCGCACCCAGCACAGCACCGAGGGCCGAGCCCTCACCCCCCGCGGCTGCCGCCGTTCCCCAAACCCCAGCACAGGGCGGCCTCCAGGCCTCGAACCGGGCCTCGCGCTGCCGCTCCTAGGCCCGGACCCTCCGGGACACCCCCCGAACCCCCTCCCCCGGGCCGGGCCCTACCGGTTTGCTCTCTGCGGGTGGTGCCGGCTGTGCCGGAGGCCCGGCCTGTACCGGCCCTGCGGGCATGGCGCTGCCCGGTGCCGCTCGGTGCCGGCCCGCGGACAAAATGGCGGCCGCGCCTCACGGAAGGCGCCCAGGCGGCGCTGTGAGGGCGGAGGAGCAGCGCGCATGCGCCAAGGGCTGTTCCATTCCTTTACGGGGGGGGGGTGTCTCTCTGACGGGATCTCTGCACGCGGGGCGGACCATTGAGGGGGAGTCTGAGGGGGGGGGACCGTTGCCATGGCAACAGGCGCGGCGCGAAGCCGAGGCCCAGGCCCGGCCCCTGCAGGGCCCCGCTCGCCCCGAGCCCCCCCCCCGGCTCCCAGCGCCCCCCAAAAGCCCCCCGGGGCTAAGCGAGGAGCCTCCTCACGCCTTCCCATCCTGAGGCTTCCAGTTTTGGGGAGGGGAGGCTTGGACCCCCCCTGGGATTGCCCCTGACACCCCCATCCCCCTGACACTCACTCCCCTGACACCCCCATCCCCAACACCCCCACCCCCTGACACCCACCCCCTGAGCCCCCCACCCCCTGACAACCACCCCTTAGCACCCCCACCCCCTGACACCCCCACGCCCTGCCTCCCACACCCCCTGGGCCCCCCACTCCTCTAAGCATCCATCCCCTTGACTACCCCACTAGGCCCCTGACACCCCCCCCGACAACCCTCCCTGACACCCCACTAGCCCCTGACAGCCCCCTACCCCCTGGCATCCACCCCCCTGACACCCCCACCCCCTGACAACCACCCCCTAGCATCCCCCATTCCCTGACATCCCCACCCCCTGACACCCCCATCCCCCTGACACCCCCCACCCCCTGGCACCCACCCCCTGACACTCACCCCCCTGACACCCCCATCCCTGACAACCACCCCCTAGCACCCCCACCCCCGTGACACCCCCAACCCCTGACACCCACCCCTGACAACCCCCCCGACACCTCCACCCCCTGACACCCCCCTTCTGACACCCCCATCCCCTGACACCCACCCCCCTGGCACCCCCCCCCTGGCACCCACCCCCCTGACACCGTCCACCCCCTGACACCCCCCTTCTGACACCCCCCTACCCCCTAGCACCCACCCACCACCCCCACCCACCCCCAGTGCCACCCCCACCACCCTCAGTCCATCCATCCGTCCGTCTGTCCGTCCGTCCACCCATGGCGCACCTCCTGGGCCACCCCGGCAGCATGGCGAGCCTGCGGGCCGACCTGCGGGACCTGCAGGGAGCCATCTCCGACGTCTCCTCCCGGGCTGGCCCCGCTCGTTTCCCCTCCTGGAAGTTCCCTGATCAAGTCTCCTGCGAGCTGGACCTGGCGGCGCTGCTGGAGCGCTACGACTACGCCGAGGGCGACCCCGAATTCAGCCAGCACGCCCATGTGGTGCTGCTGGAGCTGCTGGTAGACAGGTGAGAGAGGGCACGGCCGGCACAAAGCATCCCTCCGAAACCTTAAAAAGCCTCAGGCACGGCCATGCTACGAGGCTGGGAGGCAAAAGTGCCTTTTTTTGGGTGAAAGAGATAACGACTCGGTTTTAAAGACGAGCCGTGCCCACGGAGCTGTCTCAATATTTGGCCCTAACAGCTTGGGTTGGATATGGGCGGTGAAGGAAGACAACTTTTGTCACTGCACTTCAGGCTCAGTGCTATGCTGAGTGCCGCGGGCATGTTCCCTGGTCCTAATATTCTGTTGTTCTGTGGTTCATCCCCATGAAGGCTGCTGCTGCTGCTCCAGAGCTTCACAGGCTACGCAGAAAACCTGCTCAGCGAGCGAGCCGTGCCCCCGGCACAGGCAGTGGGACCCTGCATGTCCGCAGGGCTGACGGTGAGGAGGTACTGGCACAGCATGCTGCGACTGGGGGCCTTCTACCAGCAGCTCCTGACCGAGGTGGGACATACGGGGGCATTCGGGCACCTTGAGATGAGCGCAGGGCTCACAGCAACGGCCTCAACGCCCCCACGATTTGGGAGATCCCCCAGGCACGCACAGGGACATCCTGATTCGTGTGGTGGCCGTGCCAGATGTGCGCTGTCCCTGGCTTCCACCAGGATTTTGGGATGGGGCAACCCGACTGCCCTTAGTTTTTGGATGAATATTCTGCCCCTTGTGGCTCTGCTGCCCCACGCCATGTGCAGCTGAGCTGGCTCTGATCGGTGAAATGATTTGTGGCAAAAATACTTTGCCCTGCATTTTGTTTCCCAAATGGTTCCTCTCGTGGCGTAGTCTCAGAGCAAAGGCAGAGCGTTCACCTGGCGTGATCAGGGAACAGGGCAGCGAGGTGTGGAAGGAGGGAAAATAACAAACATAAAATAAAAAATGAAAAAGCCAGGGAGCACATTTTGCTGCAGAGGCTTTCTGTCGTGAAACCACAGCTCCACTCCACGAGCAGTGGCTGAAAAGCTACCTGGGAGCTTGAGAAATTCAGCCTCTCGGTGTCAGGGAGCGCTGGGGGCAGCCCGTGCTGTGCGTGAGGATCGTTTGGCTTTTAGCCATTTGCTTTGGCTGTAACAGGGCACAGCACGGAACCCTGAGCACTTGGCTCTGTCCTCCAGCAAGCTCAGGGAGTGTCTTTTCTCCCCAAAAAAGGGCTTGCTGCCCACACGGCTTCTTGGCTGCGCTGTCCCCGTCCTTCGCCCCTCTGGGTTTGTCTCTCACGGACTGTTTGCAACCAGCGTGGTTTGATCTGTGCTCCGTGTTTTGTTCTGTGCTCTCTCCACCAGAAAAAGGCTTGCAGGAGGAACATCCCCACGCTGCAACCCACCCCCAAGGCTGGGAAAACGGAGGAGAGCTTCCAGCCCTGCTTGCCAGCCCTTTCGGAGCCCTGCGCCCCCCCGGGTGCTGCCCAGTGCAGCTCCCTGTGCCCGTGGCAGGCTGCCAGCGACGCCTCAGGCAGCATCCCCACGCGGGCAGCGGAACCGTCCCCAGAACCCTGCGACGCCTGTGCCAGCGCCCAGGCCAGCCTGCGCGAGGTGGGCGAAGCCATCACCAGCATCTGCCAGAGCCACAACATCCCCTCGGCTCTCAGCAGGTTCCAGCAGGTGGTGGCGGAGACCGTGGGGAGAAAGATGCTCTCGGCAGCCGAGGTGAAATGCTGGGCCTCGGAGCAAAGCAAGGACCTCTCCCGCATCAGCAAACACCTCCACAGCGCTGCTGGAGCTGCTCAAACCTCTGAAATCCGAGCTGGCGGCGGCGAAGAAGCAGAGGGACGAGCTGCAGAAGCAAGCTGAGGACTTCGCCCGCCTGCTTCAGGTGGAGAAGGAGACCCAGGCGCAGCGGAGGAAGGAGGCTGAGCAGAGCCTGGAAGTCAAGAACAAGGAGCATTTGGAGGCTGTAGCCAGGCTGGAGCGGGACAAGGACGACCTACGGAGAGGTACGGTGCTGTCCCCTGCAGGTATTTGCAGAAGCAGGCAGTCCATGGTCAGATCTCAGTCCCAGCACCACAAATGGGGCTTTTGCCACTAGTTTTGGGTGGCTCAAATGTCACCAGTGAGAGCGACTGTTCCCGTTACGGTCACCTGGCCATGGAAATCCCACTTTTATCTGTGCCAGCAGCTCCTGGGGCTCCCCCGGAGCAGGTGAGGGCTGGTGAACTGGCATTGCCGCCTGTCCTGATGCTTTCATCCTCTCCCGGCTTCTTCTGCTGCTTTCCCCTCCCCATCATCTCACTTCCCACTCTCTGTGCCCTGTCTCTGCAGCATCTCACGTGCTGGTGGCTGCTCCCCACCGTGGGACAAACCCGGCGGTGTGAGCCCAATGCCACCACCGGGTGAAAAACACCTTGGCACCGTGTTTTGCTGCCCCCTTGTTTTAGTTTCTTTGAGGAGCTGTTTAACGTTTCGTGGTCTTCTGCACTTATTTAGGAGCAGCTTTGCTGGAAGAGCAAATCTCTGCCTTAAAGGAAGCGCTGGCTGCCAAGCAGGCTGCTCTGCAGGAGCTGGGTAAGGACCCCGAGGGCAGAAAGCTGTAGGGCCCCTAAAGGCACCACCCGGGCTGGGAGCAGCTCCCCCTCCTGCCCAGCTGGGCTCCATGCTGCTGTTGCCTCCCCAGAGATGACCAAAAAGAGCTTGCTGGAGGACCTGAAGACCACGATGGTGGCCAGGAGCCGGGTGCTGGAGCTGGAGGAGGAGGTGCGGCTGCTCACCGACCAGAAGGAGAGCCTGGGCCAGGAGCTGAGCGCGGTCACCACCCAGCTGGAGAAGGAGAAAGCCAAGGTGGAGAGCATGCTGAGGCACAGAGAGGTACAGCTGCTGCTCCCCGAAGCTGCTCAGCTGCAGCCACAGCCCCTCATCACCGCGGTGCCGCTTCCCCGTGGCTCCAGTGCTGGCAGCAGGGCAGCAGAGAGCTGCTGCAGCCCCTGCAGGCTCGCCTCCTCGTGCAGTCCCTGCAGGCCAAGCAGAACGCCCTGCTGCAGCAGCTGGACAGCCTGGACCAGGAGCGTGAGGAGCTGCAAGCCAGCCTGGGGGAGGCCGAGGGGGACAGGGCCCGGCTGGCGGAGCAGCTGGAGGAGAGCCGGGAGCAGCGGGAGCAGAGCGGGCACCAGCTCCGGGCGCAACAGGTACCCGGCACACGGGGGGAGCAGTTGGCAACCCTCCTGAGAAGGGTGATCACAAAACTCAGCCCCTTGCCCTTGCTCTGCCCCCCAGGAGCTGCTGGACACGCTGCAGCAGGAGAAGCAGAGCCTGGAGCAGTCCGTCTCCAAGCTGCGTGAGGATGTTTCCAGGCTGGAGGAGCAGGCACAGGAGCTGAAGGAGCGGGAGAAGCTCCTGGTGTTCTTCCCTGAGCTCCACGTCCCCGTTGAGACACAGTTTGAGAGTAAGGGAGAGGCAGGGCTAGGGCAAGGGCTTGGACACTGGCTGCGTTTGTCCTTGCTGATTCAGCCAGCAGGTTTAGGACCCAGCCACCACCTGTTGGGGTTGTGCTGGTGCTCCCTGCTTCGGGAAGGCTCATTTCCAGCAAACACCACCCCGCTCGTGTGCTCCCGAGCTGTTGGGACGGGCTCTGCTGCCAGCACCTCCGAGCAGGCTGCAGGCGGCGTGCTGAGCTGGGGCCCTGGCTGCGAGGCTGCCGTGGTTTGTTTTATTTGCAGGCACCGGGAACATCGCCGAGGACATGGAGAAGCAGCTGCAGGCCAACGACATCAGGATCAGAGTGCTGGAGCAGGAAAACACACAGCTCAGGGCCGCGCTGGCCAAATTGAAGGCGGCTGCTCAGCAGGGCGTGCTGCAGGTGAGGCTGAGTCCGAGTCGGGGCTGGGAGCTGGCAGGAGAGGGGCGCACGTGCTGGGGGGGCACCGCGTGCCCCCGGAGGTCAGCCTGGTGGTGAACTGGTGCCAGCAGGGGAAAGCTGCGTTGCCGAGCCCCCTGGTTTGGTTTCCAGCTCCCTTACCTCAGCCTCGCCGTGGCTGTTGTGCCACCACTGAGCTGGCGGTGGCATCCTCCCAGGGCAGAGGCCAAGATCCCCGAGCACGGAGCTGAACGCAGGAGGTTTCACCCCCATCTTCTCTCCTCCAGCTCGTCCCACAGCCCCAGCTGTGGACTCAGCTCAGCAGCCAGCGTGGCGGGGAGGCCGCAGGGTGAGTAGGAACCCGGAGGAAGGCGCTGGGGAGCTTCCTACTCCTTCCTCCCCTCCAACCTCTTCCGCTTCTCCCCTCCGCAGGCCTCCAAGCAGCCAAGGCAGCGGGGACGGCGCAGGGGCACGCGGAGGAGCCACCAGCAGGGCCCGGCAGCGACCTCCTGGCAGCCAGCGCCCAAAGCCACCCTCTGCAGAACCCCCAGGCGAGGCCGGACCCTGCCTCTCGCTGCCAGCACGGGGTCTGCTGCTGGCCCCTGACCCCCGAGGGAGCAGCAGCAACGCTGGAGGAGCTCGCCCCTTCTCACACCGCACCGGCCCCCACCGCAAATAGATGCTGGGGGGAGCTCAGGCAGAACTGAAGCGCTAACGAGCAGCGCGCAGCTGCTCCCCCTTCCCTGCAGGACCTCGTTACCTGTTGCAAACACGACGGCACCTTCCTTTGGGACACCCGCTCTGCCTCCCCATCGCTCCGAGCCCGAGGAGCAGCGTCACGCGGCGGCGTGGGGAGCCCGGGGAGCGGTGCCGTGGCAGCTGGGAGGCGGCAGCGGGGTTGCCAGCTGGCTGCCGGCTGTTGCTTCACCTTGTTTTCGGCAGGGACGCAACGAACCTGTTTGTGTGGTTTCCCTTCTTGTCCCTCTCCGTTGGGCAACGCCGCGGCTTTTGATAAAGCAGGAGGCAGCGGGGCCCTGAGGGCTGGGCTGGCGCATCCCCCGTTCATCTCCTGCAGCACAGGGGCCCTGGGAAGAGCCCCTTTGTAGTTTTGGGGCTTTGGGGACAGGGGTGGGGCTGCTACAAGCACCTGCTGGCAGCCAGGGGACCGACCAGCACCCTAGCGAGGAGGCCTGGGAGGTGGGAAATGCTCCCTGGCGTGCAGAGCTGGCCCCAAACAATCAGCCGAGCAGGGCCGGCGACATTCCTGGGTGCTGGAACTCGGTCGCCCACGGGCCGAGCCGCTGCTGCAATCCCTGGCACGGCTCTGATCCCGGCAGTCACCTGCGCCACGCCTGGGCACGGCTCGGCTCAGCTCGGGCCAGGAACCGCTCCCAAGAGGCGGCTGGGAGGCAGCCAGGCAGCTCTGAAGAGGACTTGGAGGCAGAGCCGGCCTCAGGGACAAGGGGAAACGGAGCCAGTGCTCAGCTCCGCCAGCACCAGCCGCAGCCTGGGAGAGCGGCGATGAGCGGTCGGAGGGGCTGGGGACGAAGCAACACAAGACACAGCAGCCCCGCAGCCTCTCCTTGCTGTGTTTAATTGCGACGGAGCTGGGCAGCGCTGCGGCTGCCAGGCAGAGCTGGAGCCACGTGGGGCTCACGGCGAGTCCTCGGACACCACAGCACAGCTCGTGTTCAGTCTCTGCAGCTCACTTGCGCCGTCCTCTCTAATAAGTTAGTATAAATAGGGTGTTTTCCCCCCTCCCACCCTCCTGCCACGAGCAGCAGGTCCCCCTGCAGCCCTGCCAGCTCCGTCCCCGTCCCTTGGCTGTGGCAGAGCCATGTCACCCAACGCGTCCCAGCCGTGCCCTGCCACGGCCAGGGGGAAATAAAAAAAAAGACTTAGAAAAATGACTACGAGCAGGGAGAGGGAGCAGCTGGGCCTGCAGACCTCCCCCGATGTCCCCTCCCCGGTGCCCTTTCCCCCAGCCCCCCAGCAGCACCCATCTGGGCTATGCCCAGCTGTGCCCCCCACCCCTCTACTCACGCCGAGCAGGGAGAGCCCCCAAATCCTTCACTCCCCTAAAGGCCAGGCGCTGCCAGGGTGCTGCGAAGGGCACGGACACGCTGAGCCCGTGCCAGCACCGAGCACAGCTCGCCCAGCGCCTGCCCCGGTCCCTCTCCCCCCGTTCTTCCCGGAGCAGCCCCGGGGCACGTCCGCCGGGCTGGCTAGCTCTCTCCACAGCAGTTCCCTGGCAGGGAAAGGATGGAGAAGGCGTCACGGGGGGAAGCAGGGGCAGAGGACAGCCCTCGCCCCGGTACAAACATGCTCCCTGGAGGGTGAACCGGGGAGCAGGACGTGCTGGGAGCCCCGGGACTCCTCAAAGCCCCGGAGCTGCACTCACCCAGGATGTTGTGCTTGCAGAGGGGGCAGGTCTGCTGCAGGAGGAGCCAGGGGTCCACGCAGTCCCGGTGAAACTCGTGGGCACACGGCAGCACCCGCAGCCACTGCGGGGAGGGAAGCGGGAGGGAGACGTGAGCCCTGAGGGCCGCAGCAACCTCTCCCTGCCCCAGAAAGGGGGACGATGTCCCCCCGGTGGGGACACCCTGGCCCTGGCAAGCGAGGGGAGGCTCAGCCCCAGGGAACAGAGCAAAGGGGAGGCATTAGCAGGGGTGGCCCCAACCCGTTTGTGTCACCGGCCCCACCGGTCCCGACCTGGCTCTTGCAGAACTGCTCCAGGCACACGGCGCAGCTATCTATCTCGCAGACCCGGCTCTGCAGCGCCTTGCCGGGATGGTAGCGCCGCGTCTTCAGGGCCGACAGCCGCCGCCGAATGTGCTGCTTCAGGTCCAGCTGGGGAGGCAGAGCACAAAGTGAGGCCCCGGCCGCACCGCTCGGGTGCAAAAAGCAGGGAGAAGGGAGCGGGGAGCTCCCACCTCGGCATCCCGCTCCGACACGTCTTGCCGCGACTGCCGCTGCGCCTGCACGATCACCCCCGTGCAGAGGAGCAGGGCGATGAGCAGGATGGTGTTCCAGAGCTGCTGGAGGTACTTCTGTAGGAACAGCACCATGAGGCACTCAGGGGGGCAAGCGGGAGGCCCCCAATTCCCTCCAGGCCTGGCTGCGGGGACGCCAGGCACAGCTATCCTTCGCCCCACAGCCATGGGGAGTGAGTGTGGGGACACCCGTGGGTGCTGCTGACGCACCTGGACCTGCGAGCTGTTCTCCCCGGTGCAGATGACACCCTGCCACTCCCCGTAGAGGCCCCCTCGGGAGAGGCCGCAGGTGGACCACAGGGTGAGCGTCACACCCTGCGAGGAAGGACACCGCATTGCCACCAGCCCATGCCAGCACAAAGCACGGTGCAGGAGGCAGGACGGCAACGCTGAGTGATTTCCACCTGTGGTGCTGCAGGCGGAGAGGGAATGAGGAAGCACAGGTGGCTGCCAGGTTCCCTGCTCCCACAGAGCCAGTCCTGGGGACACCGAGGCACCGGCAGCTTCACCAGCCCTGGTGGAGCTGGCCACTAAGTCGCCCCGTTGGCCAGCAAATGCTGGCTGGGCACAGCCGTGCCCCTGCCCTTGTACCTAAACAGAGGACGAAGAGGAGGAGGAGGTACCTACGTACCAGGTTCTCCAGCAGCACTGCCTGGTACGTGATCTTCGCTGTAGCTCTGAGACCCCTACGAGCAAGAGGCAAGAAGAGCGTCAGCCCTGTGGGCGCAGCAGGATCCAACCCCAGTACCTGGGAGCCCCTTTCCCACAGGGCACGGGGCCACACTCAGGGAGGAGAGAATCCTCCTCCAAGCCACGTGTGTGGGGATGGAAGGACGTGCAGGGGAGGTGCTGGCAAGGTTCTCTGCTCAGCCCCGTGCCTCAGTTTCCCCATCTGTGAAAGCACAGCAGATGCCCCAGCTCCTGTGCCAGGCTGAGCATGCCAGACACCCCCCCGGCCCCTTCTGTCCCATCCCTCCTGGTGCTGCCCCCAAGTGCTGGCCGTGCCCTGCCACCCTTCAGCGGCCGTAGCACAAACCCGACTGCTTCAGGAGAGCTCTCACCGCAGCAGTGCGCCCAGCAGCCTGGTGACGTTGTCCGAGGACTGGATCACGATGATGGGCTTGGCGAGGAGCTGAGAGACATCCAGCTGCACCGGACACAAAACCAATACCCGTGAGTGATGCAGAAGAGCATCCAGGGCGCCAGCAGGGCTGCTGGAGCTCCCCTACCTCTCGGATGGCGTTCTGGTTCAGCGCCAGGATGAGCAGAGCCGATGCCCCGAGCACCAGGGCTCGCTTCATCTGTGAAAACAAAAAGCACCGGGGGCTGGTGCTGCCCGAATCCTTGCTGGGGACCCCAGCTTGAGCCCCCGCAGCCGGGCACCCTCACCTTGCTGACCACGGCGGCGGTGAAGGACTCCTCCTTGGCACCTCGGGGACCGTCAGCCGGCTCCTCGCCCAGCGGCACCACGCCGATCCAGCTGTCCTCAGCGCCCAGCTCAGGCTCCTCATCTCCCACCTTGGGGACATGGCAGCATCAGGGGCCGGCACCGGGGGCACCGGGACACCGCCGGGAAGGCTCAGGAGGGGTGTGGGCAGCGTGTTCCCAGTCCCTGCTGCCTCCACATCCCTGCCTGCCCCCCAAAACCAACCCCCCCAGCTCCCCCAGCCCCCTCTCACCAGCAGCAGCCGCCCTCCGATCGCCTCCTCCCGCGGCCCTCCCAGCAGGGCCCCTCGCAGCGTGTAGGAGCCGCCGGGCCCCGCGGCCTCCCCGGCTCCGTTCCCGGCTCCGTTGCCGGCTCCAGGCCCCGCCAGCTCCACCTCGATGCGGGCTGAGGGTGCTGGGCCCGGCCCGGCCCGGCTCAGGGCCAGCAACGGAGCCAAGAGCGCGGCCCTCAGCGCCGCCATGGCTGCCCCGGGGCCTGCACAGCGCCTCTTGTGGGGCGGAGGAGAGCGGGGAGGGGACCGGGGGGGCTCCTCACACCGGGATCACACCGGGATCACGGAGCTTGTGCAGGGTTTTGTCCCCTTTTCAGCCCCCCTGCAGGTGCTGGGAGACACTGACGGGCTCCTCCTGAGCCTCCTCTTCTCCAGCTCCCTCAGCCTCTCCTCACAGCAGAGCTGCTCCAGTCCCTCCCGCATCTCGGTGGCCTCCCTGCGGTGCCCAGCTCTGTCCCGGATCCATTTTGAGTCATCCCCAAATTTATTGAGGCCGCACTTCCCCATCACCCAGCCCGTTAACGAAGCTGTTCAACGGAACTGGAGGCAGCACTGCCCCTGGAGCACTCTGCTCGTTGATGGCCTCCAAGCGGACTCCATGTCGCTGACCTCCAGCCCCCAGTCCTGGCCGTTCAGCCCCGTTCTCACCCCGCTCCCTGCCTGCCCATGGGGATGGTGACACCAGGCCAGGGAGAGGCACTGGTACCCGCAGTGGGACAGGGACTGGGATGGGGACAGGACAGGGATGTCTGCACAGTGACCTGGCACCATGACCAAGCGCCCCATGGCTGGCACCAAGCATGGGGTTGGGGACAGTGACAAAGGCAAGGGGACCCATGGGGACACAGGGCCACCCCCTGTGTCCCAGTGACACACACGGGGTCCCCTATCCACGCCCCCCCACTTTGTTATCATGGACACCCATCTGGGCACATGCGTGTGCAACAGGGGCGTAGCGCCCCGCGCACCCACGGGTGGCCCTGCCGGTGCCACCGTCCCCAGCCCCGCCGTGGCCACGTGTGCCTGCCACGTGTGCCTGGGGGATTTGCGACAAGGATCAGAGCGGGGTTTGCATCACAGCAGGGCCGTGATGCTGGGGACGGTGCTGGTGCAGGGGACAAGCTGGGGCAGGTCTGCGGGGCCGTGCTGGAGGTGGTGGGTGCGGGTCGGGGCAGATCCGTGGGGATCGCAGCCACCCTGAGCCCATGGGACAAGGGGGGCTCTGTGGGGCACCCCTGGGTGCGCAGCCCTGTGGGACACACAAGCACCCCTCTTGCACCCAGTCCCTGTGCCCCCAGTGCCTCTGCCCTGTCCCTTATCTCTGTCCCCTCTCCCCGGTGCCCTGACCCCGATCCCTTCTCCGTGTCCTCCTGCCCCTGTGCCCAAGCCTTGACCCTGAGCCCAGCTCCTGCCGCTGCCCCATTTCTGTCCCCTGTTCCACCTCTGCCCCGTTTCCATCCCTTACCCCATCTCCCACCTGCACCCCATCTCTCTCCCCATCCTATCCCCCACACCACCCTTGCCCCTAATTCTCTTTCTTCCTCCATCCCATCCCCACCCGCCCCCTGCCCCATCTCCCACCTGCACCCCCCCCTACCCCTTACCCCACGCTGCCCCCATCCCCATCTCCCTGCCCCAACTCCTCTCCCCGTCCCCACCTTTACCCCTTTCTCCGCCCTGACCCCAATCCCTTCCGTCCATCCTCCCTCCCTCCCTCCATCCCCAACCCTCTCTCCCTATATCCCCGCCTCCCCTGCCCGGCTCTCGGGCTCTGACCGTGCGGCCACCGGGGGCGGGCAGAGTCCAAGGGCTGCGGGACCGAGCCGAGCCGAGCCGGGCTGAGCCGTACCGGGGGCGGCACGGGGCGGAGCAGCCGCAACCTGCCCTTAAGAGGCGGTGCCGAGCCGAGCCGTGCCGGGCCGGCACCATGAGCGGCCGCGTCGGGGACCTGAGCCCACGGCAAGCGGAGGCGCTGGCCCAGGTGAGCCCAGCACCGGGATGATGGCGAGGGGGGGATGCTACGGGCACCGGGACCCCCTTGGGCACCGGGACCCCCTTTGGGTACCGGGACCCCCCTTGGGTACCCACCGGCACCGGGTGCGCACCGGCACCGGTAGCGGTCACCACCGGTCCCCATCGCCCATCGCCACCAGCACCCTGCGAGGCCCAAAGCCGGGCCCTGGCCTTGGAGCATCCCCAGGGTCCGCTTTCGGCTGCCTGCTCCCATCCTGGAGGATGGAGCCCCGCCAGCGCTCCCCATCCTGTTAGGGATCCGTGTGCCAAGCGGGGAGCTCCTGGTGTCCCCAATTCTCCGGGCACGGGTGGGTGAGGTGGTGGCTGTCACCCCCCTCCTCTCCACCTTTGGAGTCGGTGCCAAGAGCGGCGTTGCCTCTGTCCCACCTTTATCGGCCTCCGTGGGGTTCGATCTGATGCGAGGGCAACGTCGGAGGCTTTATCTTATCGCCTGCCGTCAAACCCGAGCCGAACTCCGGCCCGGCCCGCGGGCGATGACCCCAGTGGGGTACGGCCACGTCGATGCCCCGCCGGGATTTCGGGGCGGGAGGGTGCGCGACGCCCGCGCAGCGCGGCCCTGATGCAACGAGCTGTGGAACCTGTCCCTTCCCGCCTGCGGCCGCGTTGTTTTTCTCCCTGTGAAGGAGTTAATCCGAGGTTTAATTACACCTAAATGCAGGCGGGGATAATCCGGTCAGCCTTGTTACGGGGCTGGTACGGCGCGGGCCAGGGGGGATTTGTGTCGTGCCCTGGCCAAGGGACTGGCACCGTGTGCCCCCAGGCCACCGCGGTGCCCCCAGGTCCCTGCCGACCTCGGTGGTGCCAGCGGTGGTGTGTGATGAGTGCCCGGGGTCCGGCTCCATCCCAAAATCTCCTTGCTGATGGCAGAGGGGGGGATGCTTAGTGCTGGGGGGGTGGGGAGGGGGCAGGTTGCTGGTGCCCTTGCGCAACGGGACCGGTTTGGAGACACCCTGTGCTTGGCAGCTGGCCTGGGGACGGTCCCCTGCCAGGGAGGGGAGCAGAGAATGCCCGGTCCTGCCGGCTGCCCTTGGGACAAACTTCAAACCTGGGGGGTGAGGGAGGGACGGGGCCACGTCCCCAGCCCTGCTGACTGTGCCCCTTCTTTCTCCCCGCAGTTTCGCGAGAACCTCAAGGACGTGCTCCCCTCCCTGCCCTCTCAGGACGACTATTTCCTCTTGAAATGGCTCCGAGGTAAGCCCGGGGAGGGCACGGAGGGGCTGGGACATCCCACGGGGTGGCACCGAGCTGGGGATGCCGGCACGTGCAGGGCTGCTCCCGGACTTTTATCAAGCCAGCACCGGGGCAGAGAGCAACGAGGGCAGCGGGTTCGGTGGGGACGTCCCCGCTGCGCCCCGCGGTGGGGCTGAGCCTCTCCGCTCTCTTGCAGCACGCTGCTTCGACCTGCCCAAGTCGGAGGCGATGCTCCGCAAGGTGAGGGGGCCCCGGCGCTGGGAAGAGCCCCGCCGAGGGGTTGGGGTGTCCCCCCCGTGGAGGTGGTGGGGGGACCCCGCGTGCCCTCACCCCTGCCTCGCCTTCGCAGCACGTGGAGGTCCGCAAGCGCATGGATGCCGACAACATCGTTGCTTGGGAAGCGCCCGAGGTGGGTGAGCAGCCCAAGGGGAGTGTCCCCATCCTAAATGGGGTGTCCCCATCCCAAGGGGGGTGTTCCCATCCCAAAGGGGGTGTCCCCAGCCCGAGGTGGCTGTCCCCAACGTGAGGTGCCCCCGCAGGTGATCAGGAAGTACATGTCGGGGGGCATGTGCGGCTACGACCGGGAGGGCAGCCCCATCTGGTACGAGATCATCGGGCCGCTGGACGCCAAGGGGCTGCTGTTCTCCGCCTCCAAGCAGGACCTGCTCAAGAACAAATTTCGGGACTGCGAGCTGCTGCGGCACGAGTGTGAGAAGCAGAGCCAGAAGGTGGGTGCCCGCCTGGCCGTGCCCCCCTGTCCCCACCAGCCTCTGTCCCGTCCATCCCTGCTGGCCCCACCAGCCCGTGTCCTCGCCATCCCCTCTGTGCCCCCATCCGCATCCCCACCGACCCCATAAGCCTTTCTCTGCTGTCACAAGCCCGGGTACCCGCCAGGTCCGCGTCCCGTCTGTCCCCATGCACCCGTGTCCCTGTCAGCCCCTTAAATCCGTCTTCTGTCCAGTGTGTCCCTGTCCCAGCACCCGCACCAATGCTTCCGAGGAGGCTCTGGATGGACGGGGCCAGCCTGGTGGGGACGCAGGGACCAGCTCTGGGGCTGCCCCGTCTCTGCCACCGGCTTGTCCCCAGGACGGCGGGTGGCAGTGATGAGGGACAGGTGGGAGCAGGGACTTGGCAGCGGCCTCTGCTTTCCCCCCCCACCCCGTCCCTGAGCTCATCCTCCCGCCTGGCCTCTCTGTCCCCCGTCCCAGCTGGGCAAGAAGGTTGAGATGGTGCTGATGGTTTACGACTGCGAGGGTTTGGGCTTGAAGCACCTCTGGAAGCCGGCGGTGGAAGCCTACGGCGAGGTGAGGGGCTGCTCCCACCCCTGGGGGGCTCTGGTTGTCCCTGGTGGTCCGAGGAGCAGGGGGTCCCCTCCTGTGCCCCCGCTGCAAAGCCCGAGCAGGTGGGGCTGCCCCGTGGGGCGTTTGGGGCTGGAGGACGTGGGCGTGCAGCTCTCCCCATCCCGCAGCTCCTGTCCATGTTCGAGGAGAATTACCCCGAGTCCCTCAAGCGCCTGTTCATCGTGAAGGGTGAGTCCAGCGCCGGGTGCGCGGCCGGGCGCGATGCCCTGCGGTCCCCCCCTGAAGCCCAGCTCTGCTCCCCCCCCAGCTCCCAAAATCTTCCCGGTGGCCTACAACCTGGTCAAGCACTTCCTGAGCGAGGACACCCGCAAGAAGGTCGTGGTGCTGGGATGTGAGTAGGGTTGGGGTAGCCCTCACCCTGTCCCTGCAGCCCCAAAGTGTGTGTGGGGGTCCCCAGCTCTTGGCTGGGCTGGGGGGTCCCCATGTGGCTCTCAGCCCCCCCAAACACCCTGCTGTCCCCCAGCCGACTGGAAGGAGGTCCTGCAGAAGTACATCGACCCCGCAGAGATCCCGGTGGAGTACGGGGGCACGCTGACAGACCCCGACGGAGACCCCAAATGCCCCAGCAAGGTAGGAGGAGCTCCCCCAATTTGAGGAGCAGCGCTCAGAACGGCGGCACCCCCTGCCCGTCACCGAACATCCCCTTTCCAGATCAACTACGGGGGGGACGTGCCCCAGAGGTACTACGTGCGGGACCAGCTGACGCAGCCCTACGAGCACACCGTGGTGGTCAACCGCGGCTCGTCCCACCAGGTGGAGTACGAGATCCTCGTCCCCGGCTGCGTCCTCAGGTGAGGGAGGTGTCCAGGGGGGATGAGGATGAGGATGGATGGAACCGGAGACCCCTCCAAACCCTATGGTGTCCCTCTGGCAGGTGGCAGTTCAAGTCGGAGGGGGCCGACGTGGGTTTTGGGGTGTACCTGAAGACCAAGGTCGGGGAGCGGCAGCGGGCGGGTGACATGGCCGAGGTGTTCCCCACCCAGCGCTACAACGCGCACATGGTGCCCGAGGACGGCTCCCTCACCTGCTCCACCCCCGGCATCTGTGAGTCCAGCCCCAATCCCACCCCAAAAACGCAGGGACCCCATCCCCTGGCGTCCTAACCCCCCCCCATCTCATCCCGCAGACGTCCTGCGCTTCGACAACACCTACAGCTACATCCACGCCAAGCGGGTGAGCTACACGGTGGAGGTGCTGCTGCCCGACGCCGCCTCGGCCCAGCAGATCCAGCAGCTTGGCGGCGAGAAGCCGGCCCCGGGACCCCTTGACCCCAGCCCTTGACGCCGGCGGCACGGCCCCGACCCCGGAAGGACGGAGGAAGGAATGGGGCCGGGACCCCGCGGCTCAGGGATGTGGGGGGGCTGCGTGCGGGGCCGCCGGCCCCTCTGTGCCTTATGTATGGGGGAGGAGGGGCTGGTGGGGTGGGGGCAGTAAAGGGATGGACACACACAGGGCTCTCGGCTGGTTTCTGGCCCTCGGACCCATGGCCAGGCCCCGCTGGCCATAGAGGGGGGGGTTCTGCTCAGCCCCACAACTGCTCCGGGCTGTTCCCCCCTGCCCTCTCAGCAGCCCCTATTCCCCTCCTAAGCCCCGTCACCAGTCTGGGCATGTCCCCAGACCCGTTTTCCCCTCTCAGCCCCATCACCGGCCCCTATTGCCCCTGTTCCCTAATTCCCCTATTGCCCCCCATCCTTTATTGCCCCGCTTCCCCTATTTCCCCCCATCCCCTGTTGCCCCTATTGCCCCAGCTCCCCTATTTCCTCCCATCCCCTCTTGCCCCAGTTTCCCTATTTCCCCCATCCAATTTCCCTATTTCCCCCATCCCCTATTACCCCCCCCATTGCCCCACTTCTCCCTATTTGCCCCCTCCCCTATTGCCCCAGCTCCCCTATTTCCTCCCCCCTCCCCTATTGCCCCAGTTCCCCTATTTCTTCTCCTTCCCCTATTGCCCCAGTTCCCCTATTTACCCCCCCAATTTCCCATTTCCCTATCCTCCCCTCCCCATTATCCCCATTCCCCTATCTGCCCCCTCCCCATTACCCCAATCCCCTCCTGCCCCTCCCTCCCCGCCCCACACCCCCACGTGACCACGGCCGGTCACGTGCCGCCCGGCCCTGCCTCCCCCGCCGCCATCTTGAAGCCGGGCGGAGTGGGCGTGGCCTGAGGGCAGAGGGGGGCGTGGCCAAGTGACGTGTCCCGGGAGTGGGCGGGGCCTGGAGCGTGCGGCGGCGGGGGCGCGCCATGGGGGCGGCGGAGCCCGACCTCTACCGGGACACGTGGGTGCGGTACCTGGGTGAGCACCGGCACCGGGACGCGGCACCGGCACCGGGAACTGGGACTGGCACCGGGTCCTGGGACCTGGTACTGACACCGGGCACTCGGTACCGGGAACTGCGACCGGCACCGACACCGGGCACGGGCACTCGGTTCCGGCACTGATACCGGGAACCGGCACTGGGAACTGGGACCGGCACCGGGTTCTGGGATCGGATACCGGGACCGGGCACCGGACCCGAGACTGGGCAGTGACACCGGGCACTCGGTACCGGCACCAATACCGGCTACCGGCACTGACACCGGGCACGGGCACTCGGTACCGGATACCGGGACTGGGCACCGGCCCTGAGACTGGGCAATGACACCGGGTCCCGGAACCGGACACTCGGTACCGGCACTGATACGGGGTCCCGGTACCAGATACCGGGAGCAGGCACCGGCCCCGAGACCAGGCAGTGACACCGGGCACTCGGTACCGGCACCAACACCGGGTACTGGCACCCGGTACCGGGCCCCCCCCGGCAGCAGCAGCAGGGCCGGACCCTGCCCGCTGCCCCCCCCCCTTGTCCCTCGGTGTCCCGGTGGTGGGAGCAAGGTGACCCGGGCAGGGTCCGGTCCCCGTGGGGAATGAGGAACGGGATGGACGGGACACAAACCGGACCCGCTGCCCCCTTCACCCCCCTCCCGGTGTCCCCCCCCCCCAGGTTACGCCAATGAGGTGGGCGAATCCTTCCGCCCCCTGGTCCCGGTGGCAGCCGTGTGGGCCAGCTACGGGGTGGCCACAGCCTACGTGACCGCCGATGCCATCGACAAGGGCAGGAAAGCGGCAGCGGTGAGCGCATCCCCCCCATGGCTCCCCCCACCTCATCCCCTTGTGCCCAAATCCATCCGACCTCCTCGTTTCCTTTCCTTTCCCCCCCACCCCAGGCCCACGAGCACGACCCCGGTAAGGCGACGCGGGTGGGGGTGGCGGTGGCGGACACCTTCGTGTGGCAGAGCCTGGCCTCGGTGGCCATCCCCGGCTTCACCATCAACCGCCTGTGCGCCGCCTCGCTGGCCCTACTGGGCTCCTTCACCCGCTGGCCTCTGCCCGTCCGAAAATGGGCCACCACTGCCCTGGGGCTGGCTGCCATCCCCGTCATCATCACACCCATCGATAGGTGAGGCATGGGGATAAATTGGGATAAGCTCATGCGGGGTCCCGGGGAGCTGAGGGGTGGCACAGGGGGAATTGGGGGGGCTGGTGGGGATTAGTGGGGTAAAGCCCCACTGGCACCAGGGACAGCTGGACCTCCCCTGTGGCCAGATATGCCCCAAAGGACCCCGTAGTGACCCTATTATCCTGCTGCAGGAGCGTGGATTTCCTGATGGACTCCAGCCTCCGCAAGCTCTACGGCACCGAGGGAGAGCCCCCGTCCTCGCACTGAGCCCCCTCCCCACCCGGGGACTCACATCCAGCAGAGCCAGGCAGGGAAACCTGAGGCACGCTGCTGGCTCTGGGGTGCTGCACCTCCTGCACTGTGAACCCACACACTCAGGTTGTGGCTGTGGGGTGGAAGCGTCCGCCCCAGGCCTGGTCCTAATAAATCATTTCATACATCGCCTGCTGGGAGTGGTGTTTGGGTGCCTGCTAGGGCTACATGGGGTTCACGATGGGATCAGGAGGGGTTCCCACACCAAATGTGGCCCCTCAGACCCCACACCTCATGGGAAGAGCAGCCCCACAGGGCGGGGAAGCCACGGTCAGGGCTCACCCCTCGATGATGGAGCTTGGCCCCAAGGACACCCCCAAGCCCCATAGGGCCCAGCCCTCCAGGAGCACCTGGGCACTGCCACCAGCAGCTGCCACCACCTCCCAGGACCCCAATTCCCCTGGGCAGGTCGGTCCCAGCACCAGGATCACAGCACCACCCTGCCCTACCTGGAAACCCCAATCCCTACACCACCCCCAGGAGGAGCAGCTTCACAAAAACCCTTTTTATTTCCAAGGAACCCCACTCACACCGAGCTGTGCCCCAGGCTGTGATACTCCGAACCGGGCTCCCCTTCTTTCTCCAGCTCCCTGGGGACCAGGGCCCCCACCACGGCCTGCAGCTCTGCCTGGAAGGGACACTGCCGCCTCGGCCGCCGGCGTCTCCGCTGTCCCCTGCGCAGGCGCCACACGGCCAAGCCCATGGCCAGCACGCTCCCCACGAGGGTGGCCGCCACGATGGCGCTGCCCAGCAGGGCCAGCCCGGCCAGCAGCAGCTTCTTCACCGTGCGGCATGGAGCTGGGGGGGGGACAACAGGGTCAGGGGTTGGGCACCGAGGATAGAGATAAGCCACCAAGGCTTCCCTGTCCTGGGTGTCCCCGCTCCTCCCGGGTGGGGAATGGTGAACACAAGATGGTTGGGTTGGTTTGGGGCTAAAAGGGAGAAGTTTGGGGTTGGCTGCTCACCTTCGTACCACGGCACCAGGTCCTGCACCAGAAACGGGCCAAGGGTCTCCCGGTGGAGCATCCCCTCTCCTGGGAACTCTGCGGGTGGACACAGCCCATCGTGCGGCTCCCCTCTGGTCCCAGGGCACCCAAAACCACCCGTCTGCCCCCAGAGAAGGTGCCTACCTGGCTGCTGTCCTGGTGGGGTGTCCCCAGGGGGACACCCGCTGTCACAGCAGTCACACAGGGCGCTCTGGGAAGGGTCCTCTGCGTTGTGCCACCTGGGAGGGAAGGGCAGAGCTGGGGGTCCTCGGGTCCCCAGCACCCACCCAAGACCCACGTGGTGTTGTGTCCTCCGTCCCTTTGGGTCTTGGGAACCCCAGAGGGGTCTTTCCCAGCTCATCCACAACCAGGGGGACACGTGGGGTGGAAGGGGTGGCACCCAGACCACGGGATGTGTCCCCTGACCCCAAAATGGCACCAGTGGCTTCTGCTCCCAGAGCACCCATGGGTGCTCCGATCCCTGCCCAGCTCCTGGGTGCCAGCAGGGAGCCCACATGGAGGCAGAGCTCACCTGGCCGCGGTTTCGCTGTAGAAGCAGGACCTCAGGATGTGCCTCTGGGTGCCCCACGCCGTCAGCAGGCAGTGCACGTAGACCTGCTGGGACACCATCCGTCCTCACCACCACCTCCAGGCAGCTCACCCTTCCCCTCCCTCCCACCTCCGTGTCCACCCCATGGCTTCAGGGCTCCTTATTCGGGACCAGAAATGCCCACAGTGGGACGAGGCCTTGGGGACACCCAGGTCACCCCGAGGAGGTGGCCCACCGCCAGGAATCCTGCTCCACCACAACCTCACCTCCTCCTCGGGCCCAGCCTCCAGCACGGGGGGCAGGATGGAGAGCTGGAGGACAGACGCCCCTCTCTGGTGCTGGACGGACACACTGCCCAGATTCGGGCCGTGCAGGCACCTGGGGAGACCCAGGAACAAGTCAGGGACGTTTCCAAGCTGACCCCAGGGCCTCTCCCACCCCACACCAGGAGGCCTGGCAGGGCCCCAGCACCCACCCTTGGCTGTTGACCACCACGTAGGCCCTCCTGGAGTGTCCCGGCCACCCCGAGGCTGTCCCGTAGCACTGGTCCACGTAGATCCTGGGGGAGACACCAGGCCCGAAGTCCACCCTGGCCTCCAGGTGGAGGACAGAACCAGAGCTGAGCACCAGCGGCGTCTTCGTGGCACCAGGATCCCCTGAAGGAGGAAAATGGGATCAGTGCGACGTCCCCGAGCCTGTCCCACCACAGATGGGGACTTAGGACACATCCCGAGCCCATAAGGGGTCTCTGCTCCCACTGCTGTGAGGCAGGAACCTGGTTTTGGAGCCCACCCCCTGCTGTTGGCTGTCACCTTGGCCTGGCTCCAGACCTGCAGCACCTTCCTGGTTCAACCCCAAGGAGCAGAACAGGACCACATCACCCATCAGACTGATAAGAACCCCAAAACCTTCATAATGGGGTCCATCCCAGGGTCTTGCCCCTCCTAACACACAACTCAGAGCACTCACCGTGCAGGAGCCTCAAGGTGAAGTTCATGCTGGGCTCCTCTGAGCGAGGCTGTGCGTGAATCCCACCAGGCACAGTGGCAGCAGCAGGTTCTGGGGACATCGCCTGTGTCCCCACACCCGAGGATGTCACTGGGGCCACTGCCACATGGCCAGAAAATGTGGGAGCAGCTGGGGCCGTGGGGGTCCCTGTGGGAAGGAAGGGGGTTAGCAGCGGGGGGCTGAGCACGGAGCAGTGGGACCAGCATCCTTGAGGCATGGAGAGGACACCCAGGTCCTCAGATATCTCCAGAGCTCACGGAGGGGAGGTGGGGGCAGCACCAAGTGAAGAACCCCCCAGGAGCACATCTGGAGCTGCTCATGGTGTGGGAGAGCACCACCAGCAGCCAGGGACCCCATGGGTAGCCCTGGAGCCCCATCCAGAGCAGCCCCTAATGGATCTGCAGGGACAGGGAGCTCCCAGACCACCTCCCCCAGCAGGACCAGTACCAGCAGGACTGGGAGGGCATCAGGAACCAGCACCACGAGGCACCCACCCCCCAGCAGGAGCAGCCAGGGGTCCCCAGCCCCACTCACCTGCCACCCCCAGCACAGCCCCACACACCAGCACCCACCAGCACAGCCCCATCCTCAGAGAGCAACAGCTCAGCCCCAGTGTTGGGGGGCATTTAAGAGCAGGTGAGTGCAAATGGGCCCCACCTGGCGCTGATTTTTTTTTTCCTTTTTTTTTTTTTTTTTTTTTTTTTTTCACCTTTTTTGGTTCTCTGTTTTTGTGATCTCTGCAGCAAAACCTTGCTGCAAGCCACGGGAGATCAGGGAGAACCCAGCTTCTGCTGTTGGGTGCACACCCACTGGAGCTTCAGAGGAGATTTTGGGCCCTGGGAAGGGGTGTTTCTCCACAAACACAAACTTTTGTGGTCACGGGGAACCTGTGGTGGCTTTTCCCTGCAGTTGTCCCGACCCAGGGATGTCCCAGGAGCAGCCTCTAAACCTCTGCTCCCTGCCCTCCCCGAAGGGCATCTTTGGGACTTGCCCCTTCGGTGACATCCCAGTGCCACCATCCCCAGCCAACAGGGACCTGCCATCACCCCACGCACCCAGGGCCTCCGAGCACCGGGCCGAGGAGCTTTAACGGGTGGCACCTGGTGGCTGGGGGCAGAGCTGGGGCATCACCAGGGGGCAGGATCTGTCTCTTGTCCCCATCCCCTTCCCACGGAGAAGAACGAGACCGACGGAGACCAGCTGGACCATTGGTGTATTAAAAACTGCCAAATATACAATCCGATTATCTTACAAAATAGAATTGCTTTTTTTTTTTTTTCTTTTTTTTTTTTTTATTGCTTGCATTTACAAACAGAGCAGAACACGAACCACACCGGGGAGTGACAGGACCGGGCTCCCTGCTGCTGTCCCGGGCAGGTGACAACCTCCTGTCACTCCTGCAGCCGCACGGTGCCACCTCGGTGCCCAGCCTGGGCCACTCTCAGCTTTACCCGTGCCATTGTCATCCAGCCCGGCCAGGACACCCGAGGGCTCCCCATGATGTGGCTCGTCCCCGTGTCCCACTTGTACCCAGGGCTGGCACCTCTGGGACCCTGCTCCACGCCTGCTCCCCACACCAGTTCTCACCAGACCCCGTGGTCCTCCCGGGATGTCCCCGGTGGGGACTGGCACCACAGGGCCCTCTAACTGGGACAAGAGGGGGCTGGGGGGGATCTGCTGCCATGGGGTCCTGCATGGACGTGCTGGGGACCGCCGCTGGCACAGGCTGGGGCTTTGGGGTGGTTTTGTTGCTCTGCAAATTCACGTGTGGATGGTGCTTAGAAACCTGCTGGGGCTTCCTGGGTCTGGGCTGATGGTGTGCCAGGCACCACGGGTGCGCTGAGGACGCGTGGCACTCGACGCACCCATGGGCTGGGGGAGCCCCAGCAGCGTGGTGGGCCCCAAAAACTGGGCTGGAGGGAAAGGGGATGGTGAGAGCAGCCCCCGCTGGGAGTGATGCTCCAGAATACCCGTGCACACCTGGCCCCACGGGTCCCACCACTGCCCGACCCGCAGCGCACCTCTGGTGGCACAGTGGTGGATGTCTATTGCTGTGACAAGGGCACGACGGGGACCTGTCCTTCCCATCCTGCCTCCAGCATTTCCACGTGGCAGGAAGAAGTGGATCCTGTTGGGAAAGACCCCCAAATCCCCCCCCAATCCTTGAAGCCCTTGCTGCTGGCAGCAGTGGCCTCTGAGCTGGGTCCCCACGTCCCCTCCGTCACTCTTGGGTGCCCAGGGTTGGGAGCACCTCTGGGAGCCACCATTTGGTTCTGCTCATGCCCAACCCAAAGACAGGTGACGGAAGGAAAACGCGAGCCCCTGGCTCTCCCACAGGGCGTCCCACTTTCTCCTACCACTTGAGGAAGTCCCGCACCCAGCTCCACAGCTTGGTGATCCACAGGTTGACCCCGAGGTCCGTCAGGTACTGGATCTCGGGCGTCAGCATCTTGCGGCACAGCTTCTGGTGCTTCTTGTTGATCTTCTTCTTCAAGTTGTAGCCCAGGATGGACTTCTCCCCGAGCGGCTGCCACGGCTGCATGGAGGACTCCTGGATGGCGCTGGCATCCACGGCGTGCCCCCCGTCGATGCAGATGCTCTTCATCTTCTCGTTCTCCTGCTGCAGCTCGGCCACGTCCTTGGCCATCCGCTCCCTCCCGTAGGCCTCCACCTTCCGCCAGAAGGTGGCATTAAAATAACGGTAGAGTTTGGCGTCGATGAGGTTCCAAGAAGTCGCCTTCTCGTAGAGCTCAGGTGTCAGCCGGGAGATGGTGGAGCCCTTGCGAGCGTTGAGCTTGAAGTAGAGGATGTCCTCCAGCTGCCAGCACAGCAGGTCCTTCAGCAGCACCAGGGACTCGTCAAAATACTCCAGCAGCATGACCAGGTGGAAGCGCTGATCTATCTCCTGGATGTGCTGCTCCACCAGCGGGCTGTCGGCGTTCATGTTGTTGTCATAGCCCAAGTCGAAGAAGAGGAGGTTTTGGAGGTAGTGCGCGTTGAACCCGTTCGGGTCGTAGTAATGCCAGGGGTCCCGCAGGAACTCAGCCAGCTTGTCCTCCCCCGGCAGCTTCCAGGTGAGGGGGATGACGCGCCCGAAGTAGTGGAAAGAGGACTCGAAGAGGTAGGCAGGGTCCCGCAGCACCGTCACGAAGGTAGGTGTCCGCCGGCAGGAGCTTGCGCACCTCCTGGTAGTGGAAGCGCATGTGGTTGCAGATGATGTTGAAGCACATGCCCGGCCGGTAGTGCTGCACCTGGCTCCTCTCGAAGTAGGAGGGGTAGTAGAAGTCGTTGCGGCCGTTGGGGAAGGCGAATTTGAGGCGGTGCTTCTCTCCGAAGCGGAAGAGGATGTTGAGGATGGTGCTGCTGGCCGTCTTGTGCGTCTTCATGAACATGATGTCCAGCTTGGGCCGGCAGCCTCCTCCCGAAGGGCTGCGTGTGCCGTTGGCCACCGCCCGCCCCTTGGCTTGGGTCGGGGAGGAGGAGCAGGAGTAGGGGATGGGGATCCTGGTGGGGAGGAGAGAGAGGACAGCGTGGTGAGGTGGGTAGAGAGGGAAAGAAGCGTGTGGTATCACCATACAGGCTGAGGGCTGTCAGAGGAGCGAGCGTAACAAATAATCCCTGTGCTATTTGAGATGCCCTGAAGCCGGTAACAGATGCCCCAGCGCTGAGTGACATTGGACAACCCCAGGGAAGATGCAGCTCTGATCCTCGTTAACGCCGCGGGATGGCAATGTGGGACACCAGGAGACAGAAAGCAACTTAAATACCCGCACGCGGAGCTGTTTTATAATAATAGCAAAGATTATTAAAAGCAGAGATTAATGCTCCCCATGGTCACAGGACGGGGCCAGGTGTGGCCCTTGAGGACGGTGACATCTCAGAGCAAGGCCACCAGAGCCTGTAAAGCCCCCAGGAACAGTTCTGCCCAGGTGACAGAGGGATTTGTGTGATACTCACTCCGTCAGGCTGACTTGCAGCGGGGGCACAGCGTAGGAGTAGAGCAGCAGCATGAAGCTGGTCAGGAGGGTCCCCAGGACGAGTCCCTTGCACATGGACCTCCAGGGCTTCCCATGGTGCTGCAGCATCGTGGTCACCTGCGAGGAGCAGAAGGGACAGCTGTCAGCAACGCGGGTGGTGAAGGACAGGGAGAATGCGGAACAAAGACCACGTGAGACAAATTTCAAGCAAATAAGGCTCAGGGAGCACTGCAGGGGGATTTTAGGTGATGTGGGAGGGGAGAACCGGTGCCAGGCATGTCCTGGGCGGTGAGGGAGTCATGGCCAGGGTGCCGCAGCGCTGCCCACACCGCGTCGCTCTTGCCCATGCTGCAAAAACCAAAAGCAATTTCCTTGCAAAAAGCCCAACTTGAAGAGCTGGGGTGGCAGAAGGGGCGTCTCCGCCACCCACACCCAGCAGACGCCCGGCCGTGGGGCACCGCAGCGCCGAGGAGCTGTGGCACCGCTGCAGGTCCCACCGGGTGCGGATCCATCCCACGTCACCCACCCCACACAGCCCCACCAGCAGCGGGCGGCTCTGCGTGACCACACACACGTGCACAAACACACACGTGCACGAAGGAGGGCACATGCACACAGCCATCCCTGCACAGGCTTACACACACACAGAGGTGTGCACATAACTACAGGGGCACCCCCACCTCCCCACACGCGTGCACAGGGACACAGGCACCCCTGTGCACATTTATGTGTGTGCACACACACAGGGCACGCAGCTCTGCGCATTATGTGTGCACACACACCTCTGCACGCTCACATTCCCATGTGCACACAAGGACATGGACACACGTGTGCACGCTGATGCACGCACACGTATCCAGCTGTACACACTCGTGCACACACATGCACGGGGCACAGATGAGTGCACACACATCCGTGCCTCCTCATGCACAAGGACACAGGCAGCCACACCCCCCCGTGAACGCTCGTGCACGCCGACGTGAGGACAAGGACACGCACACATCCGTGCACACGCGTACAGAAACGCACGTCCATTTAGGGGCTCGCACATCCATGCACACTCATGCATGCACACGCAGGGACACAGCCACCTGCACATTCCATGCGTGTGCACGCACACAGGGGCACATATTTGCACATTAGGCATGCACACACCACACAAGGACACAGCCAAACAGCTCTGCGCACTCACGCACATGCACAGGCAAGGACACAGCCGTACGTGCACGCAGTTCATACGGACAAGGACACCGGCATCCGCACGCCCCTGTGCACATTTTGCCTGCAGACCCATGGATGAGGACACACTCACACACACGTGCACACACTCACACACAGCCCCGCGAGTCCCCGCAGCACCTACACCACCGCCACGCCGTGCCCCACGTCCGCTCGCCAAGCCGGGAGCTGCCCCGGCGCCGCATTGCAGCAGGGCTGTCCTCCCCCCAGGACACACGGACGTGCCCCCGCGGGGACCAGCGGACGAGCTGCCCGCACGCCTTGCCCTGCCTCCTGGCACCCTTCTGGCCGCCAGCCATCCTTGGCACCCTTCAGCCGCCCCGCGGTGCCGTGCAGAGCATGAAAACCCCGCAGCCTGGCGGGTGCAGCCAGCAGCACAGACCTCCCGGGGATTTCGCAGAGGAAAACCATGCGGAAAAACTACCGGGCCCCCGCCGGCGTCTCGCCCTGCTGTGCACGAAGCCTTCCCGCGGCGCTGGTCTCCGTCCTCCACCTGCATCTCTCCTGCCCCGGCCCGGCGGAGGGCAGCGAGCCACGCCGCAGCTGAGATTTCCATCTTGATGAATAATGGATGGAAAATGTAACCGGACGCTGGGCACGGCTCGCCCTCGCCGACCCCAGGCGAGCTCAGCCTCCGCTCTGCGGGCTTTCCGAGCGGCAGAAATGACGGCGAGAGCATGGCTGAGCTGCCCCCAGCATCTCCGTGGCTGCCAGCGCCCGGCCCCACTGGCAGGGATGCCGAGGGGATGCTGAGCTCCACCCGGGCTGGCTCCGGCGGGGTGTTTCTTGCAAACAGTTCCCAGCCCAGTTACTCTATTGACTTTGCCTTAAGTGAGTGGCTTAATTATTAATAGCTCAGCAGGAGAAATGCTAAGGTGGAGGCTTTGTCCTGGGGCTCCCAGCGGAGCAGGGCAGCCGCTGGCGCCGGCCCTCGCCCAGCCACTTGAAAGCCCCAGCCGGAGCCGGTGGTCACGGCCACAGCGTGAGGACATGGCCCCATGCTATATCCCCATGGCCCTGCATCCCCCCAGGTCCAACACTCCCCTATGGCAGCCCTCTCCTGCGTTTTTCCTTACAGGCACCGACCCCTTTCCAGCCCGAATTTAAGGAACCAGGCACAGGGCACCCTCCCAGCCCCCCGTGGCTCTGGCTCAGGCTCTCTTCATCCCGTGCCAATGCCCGCTGTGGGCACGCTGCTCCGTGCGTGCTCACCCCATCCCCCTCGCCCCGGCATCTTATCCCGTGGGTGCTGGTGCCCACATGCCCCTTGCATCCTGAAATCCCCCTGTGCTGGCCCCCATGGCCCTCCCAGCCCCCCACCAGCCCCCATCACCTCTTCCTTTGCTCCGGCTGCTCCCCGCAGACCGTCCCTCTCCTCTCCTCGGCTTGCTGGGGCGTGGGGCGTGGGGGGCGATGCTGCTCCGACATGGAACAGGCTCTCCCAAAGCAGCCCCCAGCCGCTTCCCACCCTCCCTAAGCCATCGCCCAAAATTCGGCCCCAGCGCACCCGCCTGGGCGGGGAGGGCGAAGCCGAATGTGGCTGAGCTCCTCTCCCAGCGCTGCCGGCTCGAGGCGCGGAGCGAGGTGCTGCCGGGGCTCCCGCTGCCACCCGAGCGGCCGCAAAGGCTCCGTCTCTCCACCCACCGAGGGAGCACAGAGGGCTCATTCACCCCGCTGCCGCCCCGCGCGCACAACAACGGGGCCGTTTGTCTCCATCTGCGCCACGGCCATCAACGGGGACATTGTGGCCCAGCGCCCCGGCTCGCTGCAGCCAGAGCCGGCTCTGCCCCGGCCCGGCCTGGCGCTGCCACCCGGCACCCCCGGCTGAGCGGGGCCGGGGGGCTCTGGGGCTCCTTGGGGTGCTGGAGGAGTGGAAACTCCCTGCCCCGTAAGTGCCAAGGGGAAGTTGAACGCAGCCAGGGAGTGCCGGTGGTGCTCGCTCAGCTGTTTTATGGACCCCAGGATGCAAGGACGGTGGCCATCCCTTCTCGGGGATGTCCCCTTCCTGCCGTGGCCTCGTGGGATGAGCTTTTCCCTACGGGGAGCAGCTTCAGGCTGTTTTCTTTTCTCTCTCAGAAAAAGAGAGAGAAAAAGCCCCAGGCTCCATCCTCCCCTTCCCCTGCTGCCCGCTGTATCTCGACAGCTTTTATAGCTGTATGACAGCAGTGCCTGTGCTCCTCACCCTTCGGCACATCACTGCTGCTGCTCACCCATGAGAAAGAGGTGGGTACCCAGGAGGGCACCCCAGGGACCCCAAAGGGAACCGGGGTCTCTCTCACTCGCTGGGACACAAGGGTTTTGTTTGGTGGGAGCCAGCTTTGCTTTGCCACCAGCACCCGTGGCACTGCGTGCCCCATGGCTCCTTTGTTCCGCAGCAGCGGCAGCAGAGCCGCGAGGAAGCTGGTGAACGCCGTTTCCTTCCCACATCACCCCACTGCTGGCCACAGAAGGGGCCATTGTGTGTCTGTGCAGCCCTGGCTCCTTCCCACCACCCTAGCAGCAGCTCTGCTATAACCGTGGGGCACCCACAGGCATGCCCGCTGCCAGGCCCAGCACCTGGATGTGTTTGGGTCTCCCAGCGAGGGAGGACAGACAGGAGGATGAAGCGAAGCTGTTGCCCCATTGCAGTCACTTCAATATACCCAGGAAAAAGAAAAACTGGAATGGTCTCCATCACTGCAGGAAGAGGGACCATGCAGCTCATGCTGTCCCCAATGTCACAGGATAAGAAAACCTGTGTAGGCAACCTCAGTATGGTCAAAATGAAACCCTGAGCCTATGTCAGCCATCCCAGGCTCTCCATGAACAGAGGAAAGCAATGGGCACATCCACAGGTGGCTTGAGATGGCACAGCCTTCACCACGACTAGGGGCAGGGTGTCCCCGTAAAAAACCTCTTGAGATGGTCGAGCCTTCTCCAGGGCAAAAGAATGTGCCTTGGGGAGGCAGAGGATGCTGCACTCCCTGCCCAGATGGGGACAGGACCCTGCCACAAGCTGGTTACGGGGAGAGAGCAGCCCGGAGCAGTTCCTCTGACTTCTCCCTGGCCGCCCCATGCCGCAGAACCGCCTGCAGGGACTGCGGGGACCGTGCCAGGTCGGTGGCACCACCGAGCTCTCAGCTGACGCACCGCTGAGCCTAGCCCTGGCTGGATTTGTGCCAGTGATTTCTCGCCCATCTCTTCACCTGTCCCTGAGGCACATCTGTCGCAATGAGCAGTCTGCGTGAAGCAAGCACGACACTGGATTAAGTCACACACACCTGGCTCTGGATGAATTGCCTTTCCATCCTCGTCCCTGATGTCCCCCAACGTGGACAGGCCCCAACTGCACTGTGCCAGCTCCACTGTCTGGGCTGGGACTCAGCCAGGGCAAGGAGCCCTGTTCCTTGCAAGCTCCCTCCCCTTCTCTGAAGCTCTCTGATCTCCAGCCCAGCACCTTTCATCCTGCCAGTTTCTCATTTTTTGGAGGGCAGGATGGTGCTTTGCAGTGGTTCCAGTCAGAAGAGGGCCACAGCACCCAGCAGCTGCAGCCAGGACATGGTAGCCTGGCCCCAGCAGTGGTGCCCAGTCCCACCAGCAAAGAGAAGCTCGTGGCCTTGGGATGGGACTGAAATAAACCCTGTGTGTGTCACCCCAGGCAGCCCAAGGGTGGTTAACCCCAAATCCCAATAGCCAAACTCAAAGCACAAGACCCACAAGACCGTGGCAGAAGCCTCCTGAGAAACACCTCCATGATTCGAGTGGGTGAGATTTATCTTTTAAGAATATCACCAAGTCTATCCCAAACCAAAAACCTGCTAGTGACGGCTGAGTGGGAAGGGGCACCCATGGGTGCTGCCTCGCCTCGCCAAGGACTGCAGCTCCAGGAGGGCTTTACCCCCAGCATGGGGTGCTCTTGTCCCCGTCACCTACCCAGGAGAAACTCCTGGGGAAGCACCCACCCGAGTGGGGAACAAGAGAGGTTTCCAGCTGAACGTGGGCACTGTGCCGATGTCACCTACCAGGGGCCATGTCACACGAGCAGGGCACACCCATCCTGTCATGGGGAGCGCCAGGCCTCAGTTCCTTTGGACAAAAGTTACTCAGGCTTGGAGGAACTTATTATGCCCTTATTGCCCCATTTGTGAAAGCCGTGGGGAAATTGTAGCGTTATGGGGAGTTATGGAGGGGGAAATGGAGGCTTGAGATGGCGATGCGAATGGCGGAGCAGCAGCAGGGCTCTGCCACGTTGCAGCATGCCATGGCTGTCTTATTTGCCACACCTGAAACCCCGCTGCTGCCCCGGAGCAAGGATCTTCCACAAAAACCCCACGAGATGACACAACTTCCATGAGGCACGCTCCCCTAAACCCTCCTCAACCCTCACAGCTACACATTCAAACCTCCAAACTAAACAAACAAACAAAAAAAGAGTTAAAAAAAAACCAAACCACCACAAACCTTACAGGAAAATGAGCTCCTCCTCCCCCTGTCCCCAGGTTGCCGCCTCCTCACCACCTCCCACCCCGAGCTGAGGCACCACGGGGCCGGGGTGGCAGCCATGTTAGGCTTCAGGGCTCCGCACAGGCCTCGGGGAGGGAAGACGGGGGGGGAGGTTGTGTTCTGAGGAAAAAAATGTTGGGATGTGGGTTTAGAAGAGAGGTAGAGATGTACAGATGGAGTGGGATAACACAGTTGTTGTTGATGAATCCTCTCCCAAGAGGAATCCTCTCCCAAGATATGCATGGTGGTGGCCATGGCCCCTCTAGATTTTCCATACATTTTCTATATATTTTCCATATATTGCTTTAATTTAGTGATTAACCCCAGTGTAACTTCCTCTTCCCCAAGGTCACCATAACTGCTAGCACCACCAAGGAGGTGCAGGAGCCCTTGGGGCTGCTGGAAGGGCAGTTGGGAGCTCCTGCTGCCTAGACGTGTCCCTACAGCATGGCCACCAGCGCGGGGTTTAAACTTCTTGACAATCCTTGGAGAACATCTTGTCCAAACGGCCTTCTCCAACAGGGCCATCCAGAGCAGGGGGCCCACGTCCAGGCTGCTTTTGAAGATCTCTCAGGAGGGAGCAACTTGTGCAGGGCTCTGATACCCTCACCGCACAGCAGTGCTGGTATTCAGAGGGAACCTCCTGTGCTCCTGCTGGTGCCCGCTGCCTCCTGTGCTGGCACTAGGCACCACTGGAGAGAGCCTGGCTCTGTCCCCTCTGCAGCCTTTAAGCTAAAAGAGGGTAGATTTAGATGAGATATTTGCAAGAAATTCCTCATGATGAGGGTGCTGAGGCACTGGAACAGGTTGCCCAGAGAAGCTGTGGGTGCCCCATCCCTGTAGTGTTCAAGGCCAGGTTGGACGGGGCTTTGAGCAACCTGGTCTAGTGGGAGGTGTCCCTGCCCCTGGCAGGAGTTGGAATGAGATGATCTTTAAGGCTGCTTCCAACCCAAACCATCCCATGTTTCTGTGATTTGATGCTGAGCAGTTCTTTGAACACACCAGCTGCTGAATCAATGCTTGTAAGACATTTGCAACAGGGAACAGAGGAACAGGGATTTTTCAGAAAAGGTCATGTCCTTTTAATGCCCAGTTGGTGTACTCTGTGTTACGTTGTTGTTGTTGAAACCTGATTTGGGTCTTCAGCTGGGAAATCAGGAAGCATACTGGATCATGGATCTTCTGTTGCAGCACACGAAAGTAAGGTAGCAGAAGGAAAGGTTCTTCCATGAGCACATCCTTCAGTGCTCTGCTAAGGCAGAAGATGCAAAAAAAAGGGACTGGGCGCTTCTTGTGTAACCATTGGCAGAAGAGTGATTTTGTGGTTTGTGTTTGAAATGTTTGTAAATGAAAAGAAAGCATCAGAGTCTCACAGTATGTCCTAGAGAGTAACAGACTATTAGAGAGCGTCCTGGCGAGTCAGAACATCCCAGGACTCAAGGCGAGAGTCCCCCATAAATATCATTGCTAGCAGCACCCACAGGCGCTGCCGTGAGCTCCAGGCAGGTGGGCAGGGACTTTTTGCACATCCCAGAGCTGTGGACATGCAAAATGAACAATGCTGAAGAGAGATGCAAG